GGAGCCCAGCAGGTCGAGGCTGCGGTGGCCGGTAGCGGCCACTGCACTCCAGTCTGGGCGGCAGAGTGAGACTCCGACTCAAAAAACAAAAAACAAAAAAAAACTGACCTGTGGGAAGGAACATATCCCACCTTGAAGACTAGAGTTGCGGGGAAGGTTTCATGAAGGAGTGGAACCGGAATTTTGTGTCACCTTTTACCCTTTGGCTCTTCTGTTGGTATTTTGGAGAATTATGTATAAATAATTGTTTAGCAGCTATTAGTGAAGGAATTTATGTAAGCAGCAAACACGTACCATGGGCTAAAATCTTACTTCAGTGTTATTCGAAAACCGAAGTCAACAGAGATGGCACTTAAATCTTTCTGTTTCCTCCTAGATGCTGTGTGTTTCACAACAGATATATCCTACCAGTCGCTTCTCTCCCATTTCTGTGCCTTTGTGCTGTATAAATTGGGGAGCAATACACACCATTCCTTATTTTTTCTTCACTTCGGGGCTAAATGCTCGTCTTTGGGGGCACATTTAAGAGGGCAGGGATTCATCCACCCGTCCATAGAGCAAACAAGCAAAGAAGGCGAAGAATTTTTCTTATCTTGTGAAAGAAGCAGTGTCCCTGTAGCATAATAAGGGCTGCAGTTATGAATGGCTTGTTCTCTGTGTGCATGTAGGAAGGAGTCCCCTACTTTTTTGTGAAATAAATTGTTCTTTGTCTAATCTAAGGCCTCAAGTTTGACCACCATGTTCTCAACTCGAAAATTCCTAGCCATGTACTCATTCTCTGCAGAATGTGCCCGTGGTCATTTAAAATGTTGGCCAATTGCAGACCTTGCCACCTCCTCCCAGGGATGCAAGAGTTACTGTATAATCCTGCGGGTAGCAGGAAGGAGGACATGGCAGCAGCTCTGGCCTTTCCTCACACGTCTCATGGCTGGCAAGGATTGAGCTGACGTTTCAAATATGTGGCTTCCAGGTTCTGTTGGGCGGTGGTAGTAGGAAGGTGGAGGTGGTTGCTTTAGGATGTTGGATCTGTTATTAATCTTGAGACCCCAGTGATATGGGAATTGTGTGCAAATTTAATATACCCCTCAAAAAAAGGATTTTTTTGTCATTCAAAATATTTATAACCCTGAATTTCTATTTGCATGAAAATGAAGGCGTTCCCAGGAAAGGAAGGACTAGGGGCGAGACACATTCTTTCTCTCTCTTCTATAATACAGAGGAGGTAGGAGTTTCCCTAATACGGAGGCATTTGGAGCAAGAGGATCAAGTTTTCACTGAGAGAGTAAAGGGAAGCAGAGGAAAATAAAATGAATTGTTCAATTTTTTCATTATTCTCTTTTTAAAAAAACGCATTCTGCAGGTACTTGGACCAGTGACCACGTCTCAGCATGTTGAGTCAAGTTTACTGGGGTGGGTTCCAGCCCTTAAAGCAACGTCTTCTGCCCTGGGTCCAGTGCATAGCTATCTCCAGATCTGGTAGGTACCCTAGGAAACTTACAAGCATGTGGGGAGTTCAGTAGTCAAAGTGTGTTTCAAACAAGGTGTTAAGGAGAGAAAAAAATGTAATTGACAGAATGGGACAAAAGCAGAGAGGCAACTTGCTGGTGAGATGTTCTGTGTTTGTTGATAAAGTGTTCCCTGTATTCATTAACTCCCAGATGTTTACAGATTACTTTTGTTCATGACTTTTGTTTATAGTTAAGTCCTTGATTTTGAGATAATGAGATAAGTACAGATTCACTTGCAGATGTAAGAAATAATATGAGAGGTCTTGCATACCCTTTACCCAATTTCACCCAGTATCTCAACCAGGATATTGACATTGATACACTCAGGATCCAGAAGCTTTCAATCACCACAGTATCTTTCATATTTCTGTTTCATAGCCCCGTCCCTCTTCCCCTTTCCTAGCCCCTGGCCACCACTAAACTGGTCTACATTTGTAAAATTTTGTAATTTCAGGAATTTTATGTAAATGGAGTCATACAATATGTGACCTTTCGGGGATTTTTCTTTTTCTTTTTTCTCAGCACAATTTTCTGGAGATTCTCCCAGTTGCTGTTTGTATCTGTTGTAACAGTTGACTCCTTTTTATTAGTGACTGGTATTAATGGTATGGGGTATGCAGTTGGTGTAATCATTCACCCATTGAAGAACATCTGGGTTGTTTCCATATTTTGGCTATTATGAATTAGATGGCTATGAATATTCATGTACAGGATTTAGTGTGAACATAGTTTTCATTACTCTTGGATAATTGCCCAAGAGTATGGTTGTTGGGTCAGATGGTGGTTGCATGTTTAGTTTTATAAGTAATTGCCAAACTGTTTTTGCTAGGCACCTATACCGTTTTGCATTCCCACCAGCACTGTATGCCTGCTCCACTTTCTCTGCATCTTCACTAGTATTTGCTGATGTCACTCTTTTTCACTTTAGCCGTTCTGATAGGTGTGTGGTGATAACATGTTGGGCTTTAACTTGCTTTTCCTAATGCCTGGTGATGTCGGACATCTCTTCATGTGCTTGTTTGCCATCTGTATAACCTCTTCCGTGAAATGTCTATTCATGTCTTTAGCTCGTTTTTAACTGGAAAGTTTTTTACTGTTGGATTTTGAGAATTCTTTCTATCTTCCTGTCTCACTCTGGTTTTTGTTTTGTTTTGTTTTGTTTTTTGCTATAAAGGAATACTTAAGGCTGGAGTCACTTATAAAGAAAAGAGGTTTCTCTGGCTCACAGTCTTGCATATACAAGAAGTATGGCACCAGTGGAGGGGGGAAAAGATTGGGAGAACCAAAAAATCACCTTTTGGGTACAGTGTGCACAGATGGGGGTGGTGGGTACACTTAAAGCCCAGACCAAAACTATTTGTATCCCCTAAAGCTATTGAAAGTAATGAATGAATGAATGCTTGTAGCATGACACCAGCATCTACTTCTAGCAAGGGCCTCAGGCTGCTTCCACTCCTGGCGTGTAGATCATATAGCGAGATGATGTGGGGAGGCTCTTTTTAACAGCCAGTTCTCGAGGGAACCAAGAGTGAGAACTCCCTCGCTCCCTGGAGAATGGCATCAGGTTGTTCCTGTGGGATGCACCCCATGATCCAAACACCTCCCATCAGCCCTCACCTCCGAATCTGGAGATTAAGTTTCAACATGATGCTTGACATGCCAAGCAAGCCATATGCAAGCCATCACACTTCCAGGTATCAGCCCTTTGTTGGATATGTAGTTTGTAAATATTTTCTTCGAGTTTGTTCTTTCATTCTCTTCATGTGGTCTTTTACATTGGAAAATTTTTTATTTTGGTGAGATCCAGTTGATTGGTTTTTCTTTTTATGAATTGTACTTTCGGGGTCAAATCTAAGAACTCTTTGCATAGCCCTGGATTCTGAACATTTTCTCTTTATGTTTTTTCCTAAAAGTTTGGTTGTTTTACATTTAAGTCCATGATCCACTTTTTTTTATAAGTGTGTGGTTTAGGTCGAGGTCCATCTTTTTGCCTATGGATACCAGTTGTTCCAGCATCATTTGTTGAAAGGCTGCTGATGTTGTCAAGACTGACTCCTTGATATCACCTGAATCCTATCAGTAGTTCCAAGCTTCACTGAAAGATGACTTGCTTATCAACCAGTCAAGCTTATCATCCAGAAAAGGCTCTTTCCCATTTGTGTAAAGAAGAGTGAAAGGATTAAAAGTTCAGGATCTGAAACCTGGCTCCCTGGGTTTGATAAGCTCTGCTGCTTACTAACTTAAAAAACAGCCACCTATTGAGGTCACAATTCTGTGGGTTGGCATTTTGGACTGGGCTCAGCTGCACAGTGGTTCTGTGTCTCGGATTGACTCAGGCTGACTGACAGCAGGGGCCTCTGCTGGGATGATAGATCACGTGTCTCCCATGTGGCCTCTCCTCTCCCAGCAGGCTGTTCATGGCTTCCTCACTTGATGCTCCCAGCGTTCTCAGAACCCCAAGCATGGAAGCTGCAAGGCCTCTTGAGACGTAAGCTCCGAACTTATGCAGTGTTTCTTCTGCCACATTATTTTGGTCCAAGCTAGTCACAGGACCAGCTTAGACTTAGGGAGTTAGAAAAGTCGACTCTACCTCTTGAGGGAGAAGCTGCAAAGTATTGTGACCATTTTTGTGTTTGGGTAATGTTGGTAAGTTACTTAGTTTCCCTAGGCCTCAGTCTCCTTATTTATAAAATGGGAATCTTCATAACAACTAATAATAATACCTAACTCATGAAACTTAACTCATGAGAATTCAGGAAGAAGATGATGATAGGTCTGAATGTGGAAAAGTTCAAACAGCTTTTCCTCTGCTCTCACTCCATAATAACAGTCAACACAGAAGGCTTCTGTGACCAAAGCAGGCAGTCAGTTCTGCAGCAGATGTCAGCTGGGTGTCCTCCAATTCAATTCTGACACTGTCTACCTGGAGATCGCATCAGATCCCACAGAATGGGGACTTAGTCCTACACACTGTCCCCTCATTTCTAACACTCCTAAGTCCAGGCCTCAGAACTTCTACCTGACCAGCTCCAAGTTGGGGTCCCTACGACCTCTTTGAGGTTTTCGATTTGCTAGAGTAGCTCACACAACTCAGGGGGGCACTTCCATTTACCAGCTTATTGTAGAGGATAGTACAAAGGAAACAGATGAAGAGATGCTTCTGGCAAGGGATGGGGGCAGGGCCTCCATGCCCTCCCTGGAGGCACCACCTGGGCAGCACCTGTTCAGCTCTCCAGACCCTGTCCTCTTGAGCCTTGTGGAGACCTCATTACAGAAGCATTGATGGAAGCATGGACACCCACGTAGAAATGTGCTTGGACAGAAAGGGTATGATCTCATACTAGCAGACTGAGTGGGGAAGCCCAGCGAGGCCTGTCTGCATAGGTTCTTTTTGGCCCCTTGTGCGTCTCTCCTCCTTTTGGGGAATGCACAGGCCCTCTCTGAGCTGAGGGGATTGGGACCCACAGTGGGACTAGAGTCCTGCCTCATGCAGACAAGAGGAGGGCAGGAGAAGGTCAGAGAGAGAGATTCTGCTTCCAAGGTCTGCTCCCGAGGCCCGAAGTGCCCCAGTATTGTAACAAAAGGTTGTCACCAGGGCTATGGGAGTTGGAGGCCAGGAACTGTGGACGAAAACCAATAGGTAGTCCTTGTTTATAATATAACTAGATAATATTTATTGAGTATTTGGTACCAATCTCTGCTCGTGCATTAACTCGTTTTATCCCCCTGTAACAATCTTATGAGATGGGTAACAACTGGTCAGCGGAGGGATGGAGGTGCCAAGTCTGACTCCAGAGCCTACACTTTTTGCAACCTCTCCCCTGTATCAGGTGTTGGAATACTTAGCACAGCTCCTGGTGTGTGTGTGTGTGTGTGTGTGTGTCTTTTTTTTAGTTGGGGTCTCACTCCATCACCCGGCTGGAGTGCAGTGGCATGACCATGGTTCATTGCAGCCTCTACCCTCTGGCCTCAGGCAGTCCTTCCACCTCAGCCTCCCAAGTAGCTGGGACTACAGGTATGCCCCACCATATCCAGCTAATTTTTTTGATTGATTGTAGAGACGAGGTCTCGCCAAGTTGCCCAGGCTGGTCTCGAACTCCTGGGCTCAGGCAGTCTTCTTGCCTCTACCTCCCAAAGAGGCTGGGACTATAGGCATGAGCCACTGTGCTCAGTGCTGTCTCTGTGTTTTTTACAAAAGAAAAATGCCTTTTACTCTCCCAGAATACCACTATCTTTGGAAGGCTGAGGTGAAAGGATCACCTGTGCCCAACATGATGAGGCTGCAGTAGCCATGATCGTGTCGTCAGTTTGGGCGACAGAATGAGACTCTGACTCAAAAATAAAAAACAAAAAATAGGGACAGGGTCTAACTGTATTGCCCAAGATGGTCTCGAACTCCTGGCCTCAAGCAATCCTCCCTCCTTGGCCTCCCAAAGTACTGGGATCACAGGTGTGAGCCACCATGCCTAGCCAAAAGGCATTTTTCAGTAGGAAACCAAAAAACCCTAGGTCCCTGGAAGCTCTCCTTGGTGCTAGAACCTGCTGGACTTGACTGAGTTTTGACCTGCTTGAAACTTTGTTGACAGTTGTGACCTCCTCTTGAACCTTACTAGCCCTGGCCTACTGCCGTGACCCAGTTTCCTGAAGCCAGAATGAGCCTTGGCTGCCTGGCACTGAGCCATGCCACCCACCCTCTGCTGATAGAGCCCACGGGTCGGAAGTCTCCCTCATGCTAGCCCAGCTGCTGGGTTCGGCTTGGTTTCTGCCATTTGATCCCCTGCACTGAAGTGCATGCCGATACCTGTATCCCTGAGTTGCCCTCTCAGGCTGCCCCACCCATGCTCCCCACCCTTCCGGGGCAGGACAGATCCTGCAGTGGACAGGAGAGAAAGCCTAGTCCTGGCAGCTGCCAGAGGGACGCATGATGCTTGGGGCAGTTCTGAGCTCTGCAGACAGCCACTGATGATCCCAGGTCCAAACCCCAGGGGAGTGTTTCCCCCACCACCCTTCTATCAGGTCAGTGAGGCCAAACCATTATGTGCACATCCTCTAAGCTCAGACTGAGGTGTGTATCTTGCTTAGGGTAATGTTCCTGGAGACTGAGCCTGGGTGCCTGTGTGGATTAGCCTGATGAGGAAGGTAGCCCTCCACGAAACTTAGCTCCCAACAACAAACCACTCCTTTAGTCCCAGGGGATTCTCCCCCACCAAGCAGGAAGACAGCCCACCCCCCTGTGGATGCAGCAAGGGTGTCAGAGCCCTGTTCTATCCCAGACGGTGGCTTCCTGAGCAGCTTTGTGGCAGGAACTAGACTATAATCCTGTTGTGAAAAGAAGCAGATTCTCCTTGTATCTCCACAAAAATAAAAAAATAATTATTTGGCTGGGCATGGTGGCTCACACCTATAATCTCAGCACTTTGGGAGGCCGAGGAGGGAGGATCGCTTGAGCCCAGGAGTTCAGCACCAGCTTGAGCAACATAACAAGACCTCAACTTCACAAAAAAAAAAATCAAAAAGTTAGCTGTGTGGTGGCATGCGCCTGTAGTCCCAGCTACTCAGGAGGCTGAGGTAGAAGGATCTCCTGAACCCTGTAGATCGAGGCTGTGGTGAGCTGTGATCATACTACTGTACTCCAACATGGGCAACAGAGACCCCACTCAAAAAAAAAAAAAAAAATTTAAGAGAGGGAAGAAAAGATTCTAATACTTTGTGAGACATGTGTGTGTGAAGGAGATGAGGAAGGAGGAGACCCCACAGTGATCTTCCCACACACGAGAACCAGCTTCTGCCTGCTTTGCCCACACTGTCATGACTCAGAGTCAGGATCAGTGCTGGACTTGGTTAGGGAAGGAGTTGGTGGTCAGGAGACAGAGTCTGAAGGTCTAGCGAGGTTCTGTGAAATGTGTCAGGCTGAGGTGGTCATGAGTGTGTGCCACTGCACTCCAGCCCAGGCAACAGAGTGAGACTCCAACTCAAAAAAAAAAAAAACCTGTATTACCCACTGTGTCTTGCTGTCAGGGCATCTATCTAAACGAAGATCTGTTTGCTCTAAGACCCCCACCCTCTACCCCTGTCACCCCCTACCCTTCCCACCATTGACTGACAGTGTCTCCTCGTCTCCTGTTTTGCCTGAGCCTCACCTGCTCTCTGCCTGTGCATGTCAGTCACAGGCAGGCATCTGTAACAGGAAATGCAAAATGACAGTGGCTCGAGGGAACAGGACAGAAATATGTCTCTCCTGAAGGAAGCCTGGCAGTCCCACAGGAAGGCAGGCAGTGCAGGACCTCTGGAGTAACATTGTGCAGCCATCAGGGACCCCACCCCTCCTCTCATGTTGCCTCCCGCTTCCTAGTGGTTTTTTGTGTGAGCTCCAGCCTTCATCTCCATGTTCCAAGTAGCATCAGAGGGGAAGGGAGGAAGAAAGCACTTTTTTTTTCCAGGAAATTCCTAGACATCCCATATAACATTTTCACACGGACCTCATTAGCTAGAACTTAGTCACGTGGTGATGTCTAGCTGAGCAAGAAAACCTGGGACATGGAGTCTTCTGACTGGCAGCCGCACGCCCAGCTAACACATGGGGAGCTGGTAACATGTGCAAGAAAGGACGAAGGGGTGGAGGAGGAGGAGGAGCCTGTGAGGAGTGGCCAAGGGTTCTGTACATGCCAGGCAGCTTCTGATCTTTTCCTTCAGGCTTTAGGTGATGTCTTTTTTTTTTTTTGAGTTGGAGTCTCACTCCATCGCCCAGGCTGGAGAGCCATGGCATGCTCACAGCCAACCCAGCGTCGACCTACTGGGCTCCAGCGTTCCTTCCGTCTCAGCCTTCCAAATAGCCGGAACTACAGGCATGCACTACCACACCCAGTTAATTTTTGATTTATTGTAGAGACAAGGTCTTGCCAATCTGCCAGGGCTGGTCTCGAACCTGCAGACTCAGGCAAACTCCACTTGCCTTGGCCTCCCAAAGTGCTGGGATTACAGGCTGAGCCACCAAGCCTGGCCTTTTTCCAGCTTTTTAATTAAGTTTTTAAAATTTCCTCCCTGGAAGTCTTATACTGTGTTGCACAAAAAAGAATCAGGAAAGGATTGTGTAGGGGCAGATGTCCAGAGGGGTAGGAAGAAAGTACCTGACTCCAACACTGCTATAGACCTTTGGATGTCTTCTCCCACTGTTACAGGAGTCTGGGTTCATGCTGCCGTATCAGAAGGATAGATTGTAGGTGTATCCATGAAGATTTTTTATTATTCGTGGCAATTGCTTTGTTCTTTAATGTCTTTGCTAATCAGACTCTTCCCTTTGTTTATAGTGGTGTGGTTTCATTATTTTATTTTTTTGAATTGGGCTCACTGTCTTGCCCAGGCTGGAGTGCAGTGGCACGATCTCTGCTCACCGCAGCCTCAACCTCCTGGGCTCAGGCAATCCTCCCACCTTAGCCTCCCAAGTAACTGGGACTACAGGCGTGGGCCACTACAGGCGTGGGCCACCACAGTTGGCTAATTTTTGATTTTTTTTTTTTTGTGGAGACAGGGTCTTGCTTCATTACCTAAGATGGTCTCAAACTCCTGGGCTCAAGCAATTATCCTTTCTTGACCTCCCAGAGTCATAGGATTACAGGCATGAGTTACTATGCCCGGCCTGGTTTCTTTTAAAAGACATATTTTTCTGATTATGAAAGCAGTGCATTTCTACTGCATATGCTTGGGAAATAAAGGAAAAAATAAAATTTAAAACCACCCATAATCCTATCAGGAAATAAAGTAGTGATGTTTTGATTTATTTTATTAATCTTTCTGTGCATTTAGGCATGTATAAGAAACTTGCATATCATGAGTATCTTTCTGTGTTATTAAAAGAGGTAAGAGGATTGCCTGAGCCCAGGGATTTGAGACCAGTCTGGGCAACTTGGTAAGACCTCGTTTCTACAATATATCAAAAAATTAGCTGGCTGTGGTAGTATATGCCTGTAGTTCTGGCTACTTGGAAGACTGAGGCAGAAGGATCACCAGAGCCCAGCAGGTCAATGCTGGGGTGGCAGTGAGCATGCAACTGCACTCTAGCATGGGCAACAGAGTGAGACTCTGACTCAAAAAAAAAATTGTGAAAATGTTCATTAATCTTTCTCCCTTTTTTTGACATTATTCTGCTTCTGAGTTTTCCTGTCATAAATATACTCTGATGAACAGCTTTCTGATACATCTTGTTGTTCCCATCTCTGATTTATTTCTTAGAATACATTTTTGAACATGGAATTGCTGAATCAAAAGGTGTGAGCATTTTTCCAGGCTTCTGATAAATTTTGCCAGCGTGTCTTCAGGAGAGATCATTCTTTTAGACTCTTCACCAGCAGCATTCGGTTGTGCCTGTGACCTGTGCACAGGTTGTTAACTCCGGGCAATTCGACAATAAGAACATGCTAGACAGAGCTTTTGATATACTGTGGTGGTTGTACTTGGTTAATGATAAAACTGTTTTTAGGTGGCTCAACTAGTTAGCACTGTGCATGCAGGTTTGTATTGAGAAATTATAGCGTGTGTTTCTTTTTTCCTTGCACTTGACGTTGGCGGCCACAGAGCGTATCCAGCCTTCAGCCACCAGACATGTACGTTCCTGGAGCAACATCCCCTTCATTACTGTGCCCCTCAACCGAACACACGGCAAGTCCTTCGCCCACCGCAGTGAGCTGAAGCATGCCAAGAGAATTGTGGTGAAACTCGGAAGTGCTGTGGTGACCCGAGGGGATGAGTGTGGCCTGGCACTGGGGCGCCTGGCATCGATTGTTGAGCAGGTAATTCCCAAGAGGGGAAATTCTGCTGTGCTGAAATTGGGGTCTCAGCTTTCTAGTTCAGGCTCATCAACTTGTAAAAGTAATCTTGATCTGAGGGTGACAGATTCAACCCCGTCTGAAAACTCTTTCCCAATGTAAATGCCTGTGGGAGATAGCATCCCAGGGCAGTAAAAGGGGGTGCCAAGGAGGAGCCCTGATTTCGTGCAGTTTATTCCTCAGGCTTCTTAGTGATGAGGAGCCTTGTAGGCCAGGGGTTCTTAGTCCTGGGTGCACATTAGAATCACCCAGGAGCCTGGAGTTGCCTGGGCTTCACACCCAGCCATTTAATAAGTGTCTCTGGGGTGGGACACCTGTGTTTTTAAAATTTTGGTGAGTCTAATATATGTCAGTGTTGAGTACCCAGATGGATGTGTATAAATACAGAGTTTTTTTTTTTTCTGCTTTGCTGTTTGAGTCTAAAACCAGGCATCTGGGCATCCTAGAGATAAAGACAGAACTCTTCCATTCCAACTGTGACTCAACCCTGTGCTCCATAACCATATTTTTAGGTGTTTTTTGTTGTTGTTGCAGTTGGGATCTCACTTTGTTGCCCAGGCTCTAGTGCAGTGGCATGATCACAGTTCACCGCAGCCGTGACTTCCTGGGCTCAGGCCATTCTCCTGCCTCAGCCTCCTGAGTAGCTGGGACTACAGGCATGGACCACCATGTCTGGCTGATTTTTTTTACTTTATGTAGGGATGAGGTCTCACTGTGTTGCCCAGGCTGGTCTCAAACACCTGGCCTCAAGTAATCTTCTCGCCTTGGCCTCCCAAAATGCTGGGATTACAGGTGTGAGCCAGCACACCTGGCTCTTATTTTCAGTTTTTAAAAAACAGCTTTTCTGAAGAGTTGGTTTTGGGAAACCACTAAGCTGAAACTTGATGGAATTTTCTTCTTTACTGTTCCTCTTTTTCTTTGCTAATTAGTCCAGTAATCTTGAAATAAATATGAGATACCATTATAAAGATTTCTCCAGTTCGAATATTTGAAAGGACTCACCAGACTCCACAGAGATTACTCATGTGGCTTTTCTTTAAAGGCAACCTTTGCACAAGCCGCCAAAGCCTTCATTTGCACATGGATGGCACTCTGTCTCCATATGGAGTTACCAAAATATATGCAGGGATTCTTGGCCTTGGGAGGGCTCAAAGCAGAGGCTTCCAGTGGAGTTGTTGTGCTCTGCTGGCCATGAGGTCAAGCCAGGCTAACCAGATTCTCAGTAAAGAAACTGACCTTAGGGGCTGGCGAGGGCATTTTGAACTTTAAACATCACCCTATACATTGTTACCCCTATCTTGACCAAGAGGAGAGATCAACACACTTTTTCTTTAAGGGACCAGATAGTGAATCTTTTAGGCTTTGTAGGCCATAATCTCTGTCTCAACTTTTCTGCTCTGCCATTGTAGTGCAGAAGCAACCGTAGACAATACATTCATGAATGTGGAAGGCTGTGATCCAGTAAAACTTTGTTTTAGGCATAGACCAGATTTGGCCAGGAGTCAGGAACCAATGTGCAGGCATCCCTGACTTAATGTGAGAGCTCTTCCATTCCAGCTAGGATACAGCTCTGCCTGTGATCACGTTTCCAGTTTTTAAAAAATAACTTTCATGAGGAGTTGGTATCAGGAAACTGCTAACCAGAAACTTGATGGGATTTTCTGCTTATATTTTCTGTACTAAGCAGTTATCAAACCTGTCTCCCAGATTGAGTTCGTCAAATCAGATATTTGTCAAGGGGCTACATTGTGAGGGGCACAGCAGAACTTGGACTATTGCGTCTGCCCTTGAGAAGCCAGAACTGGGCTCCCAAAGCAACTAGGTGATTGTTCAAGGCAGTAAATATCCAGTGAGTGGGTCCAAATGACAGCAACTGATGGGTCCAGAGGAGGGAAAGTCAGGTGAGAGTGTGGTTGTTATCAGGAGAGCAGACCTCAGCCTGGGCCTTGAGGACTGGTGGGATTTACACCCATCGAGAGGAGTATTCTCATGCTGCCGAGTGCATGACCAGATCCCCTGGAGTTGTGCGACCCAGTGGTTCTGGGGAAGGAACATACATGGATTCCAGAGGGAGGACAGACAGGAATGGGCATGGCATGTTTCGGGCCAGGGTAGAGACAAGCCTGAAAGCAGCGGTCACCACGGTCTCAGCAGGGAGAATATAGAATTAGATGGATCGTTCCATTAGGCAGGCCTCTGAAGCCAAGTAGGTGAGTCGGAGTTCTCTCTAAAAGCAGATGGAAGATTGAGAGCAGAGGAGAACCTTGATGAAAACAGCAGAGAGAATCTGGGAGAGGCTTGCTAGGTCGCCAGTCCCCCTCCAGGGCTACCGTGGACCTCACAGAAGGTCTCACTAGATGAAGGTGTGGCTGGTACACAGTGAGCTGGCTTGGCCAAGGCCTCTGAGCGTGTTGGCAGGACTCAGGAGCCAACTTAACGTGGCTTCCACTGGCCGAACGTGGGATGATTTGAACATCAGTAAAGGCAATTACTACAAAGCAATGAAATGAGTTTAAATCCATGGTGATCCTTTAAAAAAAAGCCCATTGGCCGTCTTTGGAGGGTTCTAGTAAGCGTGTGCATTATTTTGAAAGTGGATGAGTGAGAGGGAAAGACACACACATGTCCTGCTTTCCATGGACAAACCACCTCAAGGTGACCAAAGAGTTGATGAAAGAACGTCTCCTGTTATAGAAGTATTTCAGCCTGTGAATGAAAAAGGGATGATTGAGTTCACCTGTCAGCATTTTGCAGCTCCTGATGGAATCATGAATCTTGGCCGTGTTCATCCACAGATGCTAACATTACAGAAAGTGAGACAACCAGGTGCTGAGTGTGCCCTTGCTGGACATGTGCACCACGACCTAGAAAGAGATCCTGAAAGAAGCAAAAATCGAGCCTCCAGACAAACAGCAGTTTACAGGAAATACAGAGCTCAGTATTAAACAATACCACAGAGATACAATCAGGAAAATACAGACTGGGAAAATCCTAAAGAACAAAGACTCAGTTTGACAAAAAATTACAGGGGGGGAAAATGATGGAGGGGAACCAATGGATGGAAAGAGACTTAAAAGACATGTAATTAACTGTAATGCATGAGTTGAATGCACATCTCAACTTGAGCAAGCTAAAACACTGAGGAAATGTGAACACTGACTATTTGATATGAAGGAATTCATTACAGTATTTTAGATGATAATGATTTTGTGAAGATATATATATATTCATTCCCTGGTTCAGCAATTACTACTGAAATATTTACAAGTGAAATAAGTCTGGGACCTGGGATTTATATTAAAACAGTGTTGGGAATGTAGAGGGGTTATTGGAGAGTGAGCACTTGGCCATGAGAGGTAGTTGTTGAAACTGGGTGGTAGGTGCATGGGGAAATACTGTTCTCATCATTTTGGTTAAGTATGAAATTTTCTGATACAATGTTATTGTTTTAAATTATGCTGTTGGTGAGGTCCTGAGCCAGGTAAAAGGTTCAAGCATCAGAAGGAATGGCCAGGTTAGGAATATTGACTCTATTGCATCTTGAGGTTTTTTGTTTTGTTTTGTTTTGTTTTGGGGTTGTTTTTGTTTTTTTTTTCTTTTGAGTCAGGGTCTTACTCTGTCACCTAGGCTGGAGTGTAGTGGCACACACGGCTTACCGCAGCCTCAACCTCCTGGGCTTAGGTGATCCTCCCATCTCAGCCTCCTGAGTAGCTGGGACTACAGGAATGCACCACCATGCCTGGCTAGTTTTTTTTTATAGAGATGAGGTCTCGCTATGTTGCCCAGCCTGGTCTCGAACTCCTGGGCTCAGGCAATCTCACCTTGGCCTCCCAGGGACTATGCCCGGCCTCTGTGGCATCTCGAGTATGTGATTGTTTCCACATGGATCTGTCCAAGGTAGGAAGCAAAGTGATCCCAGCTGGTTCTGGGCAAACAGAGCAGAACAAAGTCAGCATCTGCAGTCTAGGCAAAGGCGACCCATAGGAATCAGATACGCCTCCAACAGCCTCATCTTCCCAGGTCAAGCCTTAGAACCCGAGGAGCCCTCTACTAAGTCTGTGTTGCAATTCTCACCTATAGACTTCTGTTCTGGGCTTTATTGCCTGGATCCCTTAGCCTTCTGCACATCATCTTCCCTGCAGATAGCTTCAAGCCATGTAGATGCCAAACTGGTTCCACCCGGGAGTCCCCTTATTACAAATGTCTTAATTTCTATCTGCCACCTGCTACACAGAAGTTTGAGGCAGCTTATGGGATCTGTTTTTAGCAAACAGCCTGAGTGATTGAGCCACTGAGTTCCGGTTCATAAACCAGCGTTTGGGACCCATGCATTAGTCCACCTTCCCTGGGTCTCTTGTAAAGAGAGGAAAGAGACAACACAGTGACTTGCGGTGCCCTTCCCTTCCTCGATGCCAGGTGTCCGTGCTGCAGAACCAGGGCCGAGAGATGATGCTGGTGACCAGTGGAGCCGTGGCCTTTGGCAAGCAGCGCTTGCGCCATGAGATCCTTCTGTCTCAGAGCGTGCGGCAGGCCCTGCACTCGGGACAGAACCAGCTGAAGGAGATGGTGAGTGCTGCCTCCCACACCTTGGAGCAGGCCCTGGGTCTCCTTCCCTCGTTCCCAGCTGCATCTTGTCTGATTGGTATGTTTCAGGCAATTCCAGTCTTAGAGGCACGAGCCTGTGCAGCTGCCGGACAGAGTGGGCTGATGGCCTTGTACGAAGCCATGTTTACCCAGTACAGCATCTGTGCTGCCCAGGTGAGGCGTTGGGCTTCGCAGGCGGGTGTGGGACGTGTGAGGGTGGTTCTTGTGGAACAAAGAGCTTGCAAGGACTCTGGGGCCAGACTGCCAGTGGATAGCCTCAGCTTCATCACCCGCTACTTGGGAGACCTGAAGAATCTCTTGATGTCCAGCCTTTTGTGCCTCACTTTCCTCATCTGAAAAATGGGGGTAATGTCAGTGCCTACTTCAGAAGTTTTTTGGAAGGGGTCAATGAGAAAATAGGTGAAAAGCAATTAGTGTAATGTCTGGTACAGAGTACATTCTCACTAAATGTTGGCGCTTGTTCTTATACTAATAACTTTTAGGACTACTACCTCTGCTAATGCTTCTAAAGACAGGAAAGGTAAGTGTCTTTATTTCATTGACTTCTTTAAAGTTCAGGTGGCTTGTGTGTCTTCACACCTGGTTGCCTTTCTTTTTTTCTTGTTTTTGAGTTGGAGTCTTACTGCATTGCCCAGCCTGGAGTGTAGTGGCACGCTCACAGCCACCCCAGCATCGACCTGCTGGGTCCAGGCGATCCTTCTACCTCAGCCTTCCAAGCAGCCAGAGCTATAAGCATGTGCTACCAACACCCAACTAATTTTTTGATTTCTTGTAGAGACGAGATCTCACCAAGTTGCCCAGGCTGTTCTCAAACCTGTGGGCTCAGACAGTCCACTCACCTTGGCCTCCCAATATGCTAGGATTACAGGCTTGAGCCACTGCACCAGGCCCTGGTTGCCTTTCATAGTAGATGTCTGTTAAGCATTGGAGGGAAAGGAGTGCTGGTAGTTGATTGGTTTTTCACTCATTCAGCAAATATTTATTGAGCCCCCGTGGGTGTACCAAGCAGTGTTTTGGGTATTGGGGATACTGTGGTAAGCAAATCAGACATGGTTATGATTATAGTCCTTGTGGGACTTAGAAATTTTTAGTGGCTACCCTTAAATGTTATAGAACCATCTTTCTGCATTATTTCATTTTTATCTAAATTTCTTTAAATGTTTTCAGTTATATTTTTAATCCAACTGTATAAATACATAATACGTAGAAACATTTAAATAGCAGTCATTTCACAAAACAACTGGAAAAAATCTAACTCCTCAAGTTATTGTTTCAAAACTCCTTTACACAAATGTTGATGCTGTACACACAGTACATCATTCCAAGTTTTGCTTTGTTTCCCCATCATTTTCACAGTTGTCATCCACAATGGGTTCTGATATTATACCAGGTGTCCTTGAGTCTGTGAGTTGAAACAGAAAGGCACAGACTTGTCCCCCTATTGCCTATGGCTGGGGACCCCACTTTCTGCAATCTTAGGGTTTTTTATGTTAGTATAAATGCAATATAATACAATAGTATAAGTACAGTATAATCTTGATTTTTTTTTTTTTTTTAATACTGGGTCTCAATCTGTCATCCAGGCTGGAGTGCAATGGTGCAATCATGGCTCACTGCAACCTCAAGTTCCTGGTTGCAAGTGATCCTTCTGCCTCAGCCTCCTGAATAGCTGAGAAAAAAGGAGGCTTTTTCTTTTTTTTTGTAGAGATGGTTTCATTATGTTGCTCTGGCTGGTCTTGAACTCCTGGGCTCAAGCTATCCTCCCACACTGTCCCCAGGTTGCTGGGATTACATCAGGAGCCACTATGCTCGGCCCTAGAAGTCTCTATTTCAGTCATCCTTCTTTATTATCTGCTCTTTCTACTACTCCACAATCCAATGATGATTTTAGTCTTTAATTAAAAAAAAAAAATCCTGGAACCAGGTCTGAGGAAAGTTTTGCTTTTTCCTAGGGATGATGCTTTTTGAGGGTTTGTTTTCCTCTTGTTTAGTTTTAAAGGACAGCAGCCATTGTTCCCTTTAACACTGTGGTGAAAGATCTCCTCCCCACCCCCCGGTTCCCGAGAGCTTCAGTCTCTGGGCTCCTTCTTGTCACACCTGCACCTTCCCCCAGGCCACCTTGTCTACCGGGAATCTTTGCCCTTTGCACCTTATCCTGTGGTTCCTTCTTTTCTTTTGCAGTCCTATATAGAAGAAGATCATTATCAGGGCTTTTGAAGATCTCCAGAAGGTCGTTTCCCAGGGCAAAGACTTTAACACGTGCAATAGCTTGTTTGTTTTCACGGAAACAGCACTGATTTGTGTGCAACACATTGCCCTTGTCCAAGCCCACACTTTCCCCTCTCTGGACTCCAACCTTTGGATTCAGGCCCTCCGGCCTAGCCTGTGAACTGTTTGGGCGCCATATGTTTTCCCTGGGCCCTTCGACCTCCTATCTCCTACACACGTGTCTGTTTCCCTTGTTGGGTCTTTCACCATCGTGACCAGAAGCTGTATGTTCAGCTTTGACCTGGGCCTGTTTCTTGCAGAATTAAACTTTTCTGAGGAGATTGTGATCTTCCCCGTTTCATCTTTCTCCAAACCATCAACGTTTTTATTCTCCATTCCAGCAGCTAGTACAGGGTCTGGCATTTCAGTGGTACTCAACAGATGTTTCATCAAGCAAGTGAGTGAGGGGTTCTTCTCCATCATATGACTACTTTGTTTTCATTCCCTGTGCTGGATATATCACTAAGGTTGCCGTTCTATTGCTGTGCTCTTCTCAGCTACCACAGTTCAGGCCTTTGCCTGACGTGGTACCCTCCTTCTTGACCGTCTGCTTCCACCCTCTCCTACCCATCCAACCCTACATAGTAGGAACCTTCTCCTTAAACATCACAGAAGTTACATTAAACATCTATTCTTGAGTTTGAGGGTTTATTACCATTTAGATTCTTGCTGTTTCCATTACTCACTTGCCTTTCTCTCTTGCTAAACATTGCCTGAGGCTAGGTTCGGTGGCTCATGCCTGTAATCCTAGGTCTTTGGGAGGCCAAGGCGGGAGGATCTCAAGACCAGCTTGTGCAACATAGCAAGACCTCATCCCTACAAAGAAAATTTAAAAATTAGCCAGGCGTGGTGGCGCATGCCTGGAGTCTCAGCTAATCAGGAAGCTGAAGTGAAAGATAGCCTGAGTCCAGGAGATCAAGGCTGCCGTGATCGTACCACTGCGCTCCAGCCTTTACCACAGAGTGAAAGTCCAACTCAAAAAGAAAAATGGCCTGAAACTCTGGTTCATGAAAGAAAGCACAACAGTTTACCAGCCCTGACAGTTGGCTCTCCACTCTGCCTTTGAGCACCTTCAGCTCATCTTCTCCCTCAGACTAAATTGTGTCCTGTCCTCCTTCCAGCTTGTGACTTAAGACTCACCTCCATAAACCTCTCAGACTAATTCACATGCTCAAACACAGTCTTTGTTAACTTCAGTAACAGTCTGCTTCACAGCTAGAACAGTGACAACAGAGACCTGTTCCATGTTGTCGCATATACTTCTCAGTTGCTAGGATACAGAGATCTATTAGGAATGATTGGGCATAAGGTGCACATCTGTATTCCCAGCTACTCAGGAGGCTGAGGTGGGAGGATTGCCTTAGGTCAAGAGTTCGAGTCCATCCTGATGGGCATAGCAGGACCGTATCTCTTTAAAAAAAGAAAGAAAGAAAGAAAGAAAGCCATTAATTCCTCCACTATCCCTCTAAAGTAAAAATCTATCCATTAATTCTGTAAACAGATGAGATTTTGAGATTTGATAGGTCTTTGAGGATTAAAGTACTTTTACAAGAAGACTTGAACACACTCTTAACTAAATCTTTCAGGTGACTTTGTTTTTTGGGGGTTTTTTGAGTTGAAATCTCACTCCGTCGCCCAGGCTGGAGTGCAGTGGCACACTCATGGCCACCCCAGTGTCGACCTGCTGGGCTCCAGCGATCCTTCTATCTAAGCCTTTCAAGTAGCCAGAACTACAGGTGCGTGCTACCATGCCCAGCTAATTTTTTATTTATCATAGAAATGAGGTCTTGCCAAGTTGCCCGGGCTGGTCTTTGACCCGCGGGCTCAGGCAATCCACTCACCTCGGCCTCCCAAAGTGCTGGGATGTCAGGCTGAGCCACCGAGCCCGGCTTTTTTTTTTTAATTTCTACATGAACTAGATAAGCATCCTTACGTACGTATTTCATTCCACTCTGTGTGGGGTCCTAGAAACCCAGAGCTGAACTCTCCTGCTCTTAGCATCTTCTGAGTGCTGGGAAGTGTCTCATTTTTCTCCTCCCTGCATTTTCAACCTGTTTGATCCTTTTAGATTTTGGTGACCAATTTGGATTTCCACGACGAGCAAAAGCGCCGGAACCTCAACGGGACACTCCATGAGCTCCTCCGAATGAACATCGTCCCCATTGTCAACACAAACGACGCTGTTGTCCCCCCAGCTGAGCCCAACAGTGATCTCCAGGGGGTAAATGTGGGTACAGTATTCCTCAGGGTTAAGCATGCTGGAGGCACTAACACCACGCTACGCTGCACGTACTAACACCGGAATTAGCATGGCTTGTGCGAGGTAGAGTGGGAGAGAGGCTGGCCTCGTGGAGGAGGGACCGCAGGAGCTCTTCTGGAGCCAGGGGTTTCGCACCGCAGGGCGAGGTGCTATGGTGACTGCAGGGGTGTGTGAACACGGCTTGTGCATTTCTGTGGCTGGAAGCCTATGTGTTTAGAAAAGGGGCTGCCGGCAGACATCGTGTTTTGCAGGCAGAAGGGCCTGCGGGAGCTGTCATCCACACATTCGGAGTCACTGGCTTGGCCCCGCTGGGTGCTTCTGTGAGATTACTCCTGGACTACGTGGCTCACTCACAACTTTTTATCTGCATTCCAGGTTATTAGTGTTAAGGATAATGATAGCCTGGCTGCCCGTCTGGCTGTGGAAATGAAAACGGACCTCTTGATTGTTCTTTCCGACGTAGAAGGTACAAAGTATGACTTTTTTCGTTTATCTGTCTTTTGTTTTAAATGCTACACATGGAGCACCTGACTTTCCCTCTGATTCCTTCTGATCTTTTTTTTTTTTTCTGACTACAGATCATTATTTTCTGAGCCATATGGTCTGACAAAGGGCTTTATGACTTAGAGTGTGGGCGAGTCTGGGAGATGCATTTTGAATGCTGCAATGTTGTTTCCAGGTGTTTTCAGTTGCAGGTTTTTTTTCATGGCAACTTGATGGAGATGTAATTCACATGTCATATGACTCACTTATTTAAAGTTTACAATTCAGTGATTTTTAGTATCTTCACACAGTTGTGCACTCGTCACTACAGTCAATTGTAGAACACTCTCATCACACTAGCAAGAAACCCCATACCCACCGGCAGTCACTCCCCACTTCCACCCAAACTCCCCAGCCTTGGGTCAGCCTCCAGTGTACTTTCTGTCTCCGGATTTATCTGTTCTGGACATTTTATGTAAATGGAATCACACACTACGTGGTCCTTTATGACTGGCTTCTTTCCCTCGGCATGATGTGTCCAAGGTTCATCCATGTGGTAGCATATGTGAGTGTTTCTTGTTATTGCTGAACAATATTCCACTCTCTGGATAGCCCTTGCTTTATTTATCTGTTTACCAGTTGATGGACATTTGGACTATTGTGAATAGCGCTGTGAACATTCATGAGCAGTTTTTGTGTGAATGTGTTTCTGTTTCACTTAAGAGAATTGCTAACTCTGTTTGAAAGGCTTTTGATGCACTACTAGAATATTTTCCAAAACAGTCACACCATTTTACATTCCCACCAGCAGTGTATGAAGGTTTTGGTTTGTTTCCATCCCTGCCAGAACACTTGTTGTCTGCCTTTTTTGTTACAGCCATCCTAATGGGTGTAAAGTGATGGCTCATTGTGGTTTTGATTACTTTCGGTTTTTCATGTATATCACAGGGCAAATTATTTTACATTGGAGCCTCTGTAGAGAGTGTAGACTTTCTGGTCACTGTGTTCTTAAATGTTACTCTGTCCTCTTCCTCATGGAGTGGCCCCTCTTGTCTCTAATTCTTCGACTCTTCTTTGTTCACTCTTCTCGCTTTCTTAGGCTATTTCCATTTCACAGTTTGGCCCATAAGAAATACAGTAGGGCACACTTCATCCACAAGGGTGTCTGCATAATGAACATTTGAATACCTAACCCTGAATTGTACACCACATCTTAAAAAAGAAAGAGAGAGAGAGAGAGAGAGAGAGAGAGAGAGAGAAAGAGAGAAAAGGAAGGGAAGGAAGGAAAGAAAGAAAGAAAGAAAGAAAGACAGACAGACAGACATACATACATACATCATACATACATCATACATACATACATACATACATACATACAGTAGCCTTGTCCAAAATAGGCCAAACCTCCCAGATCTCAAAGTTCCCCATTATATTCCCAGGAGGTCTGAAAAACCCTACTTAATTCCCAGCCCACACCAAGGCAGGTTAACATGGTGGAGCTCGTTTTCTATTTTACGTTGCAGTGGCATGAAGTAAGGGCAGGGGCTGTCTGGTGGAGGCAGGGACAGATACTGATGAACTTGTCTCCTGCCTGTGTGGAAAGTCAGAGATACCACGCCTACGCATCAGTATCTTTACCTGTAAGAAGTCTTGGCACTACGTTGACCCCTCTGACTTGAAGTCTCAAGACAGGAACAGCTAAGTTGGGTGAGGTAGGAGCCACCATGGAGAAGAACGCGAGTCGGTTCATCAGCAGGTGTTTATTGAATTTCTACTAAGTACAAATAGTGTGTGCTAGGTGCTCTATATAAATGTCAATTTATTCAATCTTTGTAGCAACTCTGCAAAGTAGATAGGTTAGCCCAGTTATATAGACAGAGAAATTTAAAACTAAATTCAAGCTGGGAATGGTGGCAGGCTCCTGTAATCCTAGCTACCCTGGAGGCTGAGGTGGGAGGATTGCCTGAGCACAGGCGTTTGAGGCTGTAGTGCACTAAGATTGCACCTGTGGATAGCCACTGTACTCCAGCCTGAACAACATAGCGAGACCCCATCTCTAGGGCAGGGGGGGAGGGTAAAAGAAAAAGAAAAATAGTTGTATTAAAAAATGAAGTTCAGATCAGTTCAATTGTACCTCTGAAGTCACATAGCAAGTGCTTGGCAGAGGCTAGTTTCAAATCTGAGTCTGTCAATTGAAAAACCTTCCCTTCTCCCTCTCTCCTATACTCTCTGACAAGGTAAAAAGTGCAGGGTTTTGAAAGATCAATATATGAAACCCAGTTTGAACAAGACTCTAATAAATAGTTTTGATGCAGCCTCAGACACCAAAATTGGTCATTGACAGGCTTGAATCTTACTGTAATTAACTTAATTAATGATCCACTGAGTACTCCCCCCCCTTTTTTTTTTGAGTTGGTGTCTCTCTCTGTTGCCCAGACTGGAGTGTAGTGGCATACTCACGGCCACCCCGCACTACAGCCTCAAACGCCTGGGCTCAGAGACCTGCTGGACTCAGGCGATCCTTCCACCTCAGCCTTCCAAGTAGCCACAACTATAGGCATGTGCTATCATGCCCGGCTAATTTTTTTTTATTTGTAGAGACAAAGTCTCACCAGTTGCCCTGGCTGGTCTCGAACCTGCCGGCTCAGGCAGTCCACTTGCCTCGGCTTCCCAAAGTGCTAGGATTACAGACTAAGCCACTGAGCCCAGCCCAACTTTTAAAATAGTATCAGAATGTTAAATATGCTCCCGGTGGAATTGAGAGGCTGCTATCAGGGAAAAAGAGAAGTGGCCAGAACATCAGAATGCCAGGGACCCCTCAGCGTCTCTGGGGAAGGTTTGGCTTAGAGTTGTTCAGTCTTTCCTGGACTAGTACATGAGACAGAAACATCCTCTAAATCCAAGCCTGTCATCTTATGGCACTGTATTTTCTGGGAAGAACCCAGCCCTAAATCCTGGAGAGCTGTGGACTGTTAAGTGAGGTAAGGGCAGAGGTAGACAGAGGTTGTGAGAAGCATTTTTTCTCTGCCTAGAATAATTTGCACAGTCCATGGTTTGCACTGCTCTGTGCCATACTAGATACCGGTTTCCTCACTCCCTCCCCCACGGAAGTAGCAGAGAGCAAGACTGTGTTACAGCCTTGGAATCACAGAGGGGAGAGCAAGACAAGCAGGAGCTTAAAACCAAAACCTCACTACCCAAAATGCCCTTCAACCAGTTCCCAGCCACAGGCAGTGCCTCCTCTCTGGGTGCCCTTTAGGTCTTGATTTGACTCCATTTTCTCGGACCCTTCTCAACCGCCACCCCTTACCCTTACTCCTTACTCACTCTTCTTTAAAGTGAAACCGTGAGGATTTAAGATCTGGGATTGTATGCAGATAATGTTTCATGTAACTCTATTTCACATCAAAGGGGCATATGCTCTATGGTAATGAATCCAGCCTGAATGCCAGGAGTCATAGCTCCCCTGCTGGCTCAGCCTGGCCTCCACAGCAGCTCGCTCATAAAGCGGGGCGCATAAATGAGTGACTGTTTCAAAGGGTGTCGTGCGAGTTCATGAGTTCCTCGTTCATCTCTTCCTGCTCAGAACGGTCACAGTGAACAGTCCCCAACTGCTGTGCTGTTGCTGCAGGAACCACCCTTCTTTTTCAGTTTTATCCTTGAGGCACGGCATCCTCAGTGGCAATGGCGGAGGGGAGAACAACCTGCCAGTGGGCTGTGGGCAGGGCTCATGAATGTCATGCCAGGGACATGGCCGTGTGCTGATGTTGGGAGACATTTGTTTGTTAAGCTAGGTGATAGAAGTATGTGAGGCAAGTCCTCCTGGGATTGCTCTTCAGCATGGTCGACTCCCCAAGGGTCCTTTGTTCCCTTTGGGTAAGGCAGGTGGTGATGTGGTAGAATTCATCCCGGTGAGAGACGTGCAGAGGGCTTGGCAGGTGCCTAGGAGGAATGTCTTGGGATCACTCGCTCCCACCAAAGCAGTATTGCTGACTCATGTCTACTTTTAGGCCTCTTTGACAGCCCCCCAGGATCAGATGATGCCAAGCTCATTGATATATTTTATCCCGGAGATCAGCAGTCTGTGACGTTTGGGACCAAGTCTAGAGTGGGAATGGGAGGCATGGAAGCCAAGGTAAGAATCTGGTGCCTGAACTGCCCTTGACCATTATAAAGCCTAGGAATATTTTATCCTGTTTACTTTTGGGAATTGTGTGGTGGCTAATGGTTCAGATGTGAGGCACACACACACTTAAATATGCACAGTGATGACAATGTTTAGTCTGTCTGTATTTTTTTTGTTAATGGTATGTGAATAGTATATTCATATTGTAACTCGAGGGCAGGGCATATATATTTTTGGTAATTCACAAATCATCTAATATACCACCTCAAGTATTTCTTGAGGAAAACGTTCAAAAGTTCTTGGTCTCCCATTGGTTGTTCTGAGAAGTTATACCCTTGAGGAATGGCGTCATATGTAGCACTGATAGAAGTGAGGACGAGAGTCCCGCTTACAAAAGCTAAGCATCCTCAGGATCAGACTTATTAATCCCCAGGCCTTTCCTTAGGTTGTTTCAGAGTTGAGGTGCCAGAAGTCAAATGTAGAAGTTATGAGCCCCATACTACAGAACTTGGCTGGAAACAAAGAGCTGGCTGCTTCATCTTCAGGCAACATGTGCCAGAGAACAGTGTGTGGGCTGCATGTGTACCCAAAGCTTCTGAGCTGTGAATAACATCCCTGCATCTGCTTAGTTTGCTCAGTATTAAATAGCATTCTATATCTTTCTGCAAGTTTAAACTATGGGTGACTAGGTCTGCGTCTTGTCTTCATTCTGAATCTTTGGATCTAACCCGTCCCATTAGGTGAAAGCAGCCCTCTGGGCTTTGCAAGGTGGCACTTCTGTCGTTATTGCCAACGGAACCCATCCAAAGGTATCTGGGCACGTCATCACAGACATCGTGGAGGGAAAGAAAGTTGGCACCTTCTTTTCAGAAGTGAAGCCTGCTGGTAAGTAGTTCTTCAAAAAATTCCAAGGCCTATGGATGGTAGCTAATAACACCCCATCCTAGATGAGATTGGGTGCGTTCAGGATGGTATGGCTGTGGACGTCACCCCATCTTAGGACGGAAGACTGAGCTCTCATTCTGGGTTATAGATCACAACCTTGATGTGTTCATATTATGAAATAGGGTATTGTTATGAACACTATTTTCAAAATTGGATTTCGTTTTGCTTTTGTAAAAGTCTGTCTAACCTGCCGAGTTAGGCCTATTCTCTGCAGAATCACTAGAATAAAGAATATATCCTGAATTGTATTCTACATCTTTAAAATAAAATATATATATATATATATATATATTTTTTTTTTTTTTTTTTTTGAGTTGGAGTCTCACTCTGTCGCCCAGACAGGAGTGCAGTGGCCGCTGCCGGCCACCACAGCCTCGACCTGCTGGGCTCCAGCGATCCTTCCACCTCAGCCTTCTGAGTAGCCGGAATTACAGGTGCACGCTACCACGCCCGGCTGATTTTTTGATTTATTGTAGAGATGAGGTCTCACTGCCCAGGCGGGTCTCAAACCCGCGGGCTCAGGCAATCCACTCACCTCAGCCTCCCAAAGGCGCGGGATTACAGGCTGAGCCACCGAGCCTGGCTAATAAAATATATTTTTAAAAAGACTATAAACATCCGTTTTCTCAGGAAACATTTGCTAGGCCCATGCTGGATGCCAGGTCCCCAGGAACACTAGAGATACAGAGGTGCATAAAGGTGCGGTGTGTACCCTCAGTGCTCACGAAGGACAGAGCTGCCTGAGAACCTGCATTCAGAAATGCAGCACATCACAAAACATCAGTCAAAGTGTAATTGAAAAGAAATCTAGAGAACAGAAAATATATTGTTTACCCCAGAAATATGGGCAAGTCCTTGTGGCTGTGCCTGAGCAGTCTTGTGTTATTGCGATCCCGTATGTGGAACAAGCCCACCAAGACATCAGGTGCTCCTTCTGTGCGGTGAGGGACGTGTGCACGTGCCGGGAAGGCGAGGAGGGCTAGGCTGACCATGACCTGAGGTTTCCACATGTTCTTGCAGGCCCCACCGTCGAGCAACAGGGAGAAATGGCTCGCTCTGGAGGGAGGATGTTGGCCACGTTGGAACCTGAGCAGGTAGTGACCTTAGCTGATGGTTGCATTACTTTCTGAGCAAGTCATGCCGTACGTTTGGCACTACAGTCAAGCCTGCTGATTTCCCCTTTCTTCCTCGTGTCCCAGGAGTTGTCTGAGTTGCAAGTCTAATTCAGATCTGCCCTGCCTTTTTTCTCTTTCCTAATTTTATTTTCCCTTTGCCTTTTGTAGGCTGAGGCCTAAGGTAGCTTTTCATCACTTGATGTTTTGATCAAAGGCATCGTGAAAATGATGAGCTCAGGAAGGCCACCTGATCCTTCCACATCATGGGCAGCGAGAGGCAGGAACGTTACTCATCCCAGCCCATTCTGGATCCCCTAACTGTCCTATAAGGTGGAAGCTCGAGAGCCCACTCCCCTGTGGGTGGCCTGCCCTGTCTGTCACCAGTTACTCGTGGCTTAGTTTAAGTGGCGGGCACGAAGAGGCCGGAAGCGAGAGGCGGTCAGGTGAAAGCTGGGCGCTGACTCCCCAGGGTTGTGTTGTCAGGGATGGACTTGAGAGTGATGGACACATGTTGTTTCCGGGGGCTACTTTGACCTGAGAAAGGAGAAGAGGAAGTAAAATAACTGCGGTAGCAGAGAGAGGAAAGCAGAGAAGGAACCCGGCTTCTCTCTCAACCCACTTCCCTCTGCTCCCCCGTAGTCCCCACATCTATTTGCCACGTTGCCTAATCTAACTGGGTGAGGTTTGGGGTCTCTTCAGGGATCTGGACTACATTTTTTTCTTTTTCACTGAATTCATTAAATAAATAATTGACAAGAAAGAAATGCCAGATATGAAAATGTACCTGGGAAATAAGCTCTCTAGCCAGTGATACTAAATATGTAAAGATGTGTGCACCATGCTGATTCGAGGAGCTGGCTCCTGTCTCCTGGCAAACTGTGCAACCCATCAGGCCTCCTCCCCCACCGTTGGGCCAGGGTTGGCTAATCATGCTAATCAGGAGTGGTGAGCAGGACGAGGAGAAGTCAGAAGATATGAGAGAGGAAGGAAGAAGTCAGGGGAGCAGCGATGGGAAATGAGTAGGAGCCAGGAGACTGCAGGCGACGGTGGTCTTGGATGCAGGCGCGGGCCTGTCACTTCTGGAAGAGCAGCTTTACAACCTGTGCGTGCGTTCCTCTTGGGTTAACACATCGGCTTGTCTTTTCAATGGTGTGCCTTTCTTTCAGAGAGCAGAAATTATCCATCATCTGGCTGATCTGTTGACCGACCAGCGGGATGAGATCCTGTTAGCCAACAAAAAAGACTTGGAGGAGGCAGAGGGTGAGGACCAGGCAATTTAGAGTCATTGTCTTGGAGGGGTTTTATTTGGGTTTGGGGTTTCTTGTTTTACTACTAATTCTTATGTCTGCCTAGAGATAAGACTGCTGCAGAAGAGATTGTATCTTATGCAGCATTTTTAGCAAGGGTAGGTGGCTGTGTTAGGCTAGTATTAGTTATGCTGCCCCGCCCCCACCCCAGATATTTTAGTATAATCACGAGGGGAGCTTTTTCCATTCCCCACAGGTCAGGAGCTATGGCTGCTGTGGCGTTTCTGGATGAAAAAGGAAAGTTTGAGAACCCCAGTGCTTTAGGCATTCTCTAATAGCAGCCAACATTTATTTAGGCCTTTCTGTATTACCAGGCACTGTGCTAAGGGCCGTACAGACAGAATGTCGTTTAATCTTCACAACATAGCCCTTTTGAGATAACTACTATGTATTATCCCCATTTTACAGAGGAGGAAACTGCGACTCAGAGAAGTTGGTCAGTGATGGACCCAGATTCAAACACAGGTGGAATGTCCATATGAAAGAGCTGTAGAAACAGTTTGTGTGGCCTATGATGGAGAGCACATCTCTCAGTTAATTAACCAGCCTGAAGACTTCCCAGGTTTAGTGCCTGTGCCACCCAGAAAGACCCTGAGATGATAATGGCAGAGTGAGATGGTGAACTCACACTGCAGGCAGTGGAACATGTGAACAGTCAGTCAGGCCCTGATTCCTTCTCTCCTTTTTCTTAATTATCTTTTTTTTAAATTTATTTAATCAGAGTGTAACTCTGTCGCTCAGGTTGGAGTGCAGGGGCATGCTCATGGCCATCGTAGCCTCAACCTGCTCAACTACAGGCACATGCCACCATACCCAGCTAATTTTTTGACTTATTGTAGAGACAAGGTCTTGCCTGGCCTTAATTATCTTTTCCACTTTAAAATAATGGGGGTTGCCAGGCACAGTGACTCAACGCCTGTAATCCCAGAACTTTGAGAGGCGGAGGCGAGAAGATTGCCTGAGCCCAGGGGTTCGAGACCAGCCTGGGCAACATGGTGAGACCTTGTCTCTACAATAAATTAAAAAAAAAAAAAACAAAAAACAACTAGATGGGTGTAGTGGCACACACACTGTAGTTTGAGCTACTTGGAAGGCTGAGGTGGAAGGATCGCCTGAGCCCAGGAGGTCAAGGCTGCAGTGGCCGGGAGCGTGCCATTGCACTCCAACCTGGGTGACAGAGTAAAACTCCAGTTAAAAAGGGCGGGGGACTGATTTTTCTGGGGTTTTTAATTTCCTTTTCTCATGAATACATATGCATTAACATTAACATCCAGATTCAGAGTTCCTTTCGAAGAATCCTTGCAAGGAGCATCAACATTACTTTCATTCCTTAAAGCAGTGGTCCCTGACCTTTCTTGGCATCAGGGACAGGTTTTGTGGAAGATAGTTTTTCCACGGATGGGGGTGGGGAGGAGGATGGTTTGGGGATGATTCAAGCGTATTACACTTATCGTGCAGATCAGCGTCAGCATTAGAGTCTCATAAGGAGCACTCAGCCTAGATCCTTCACCTGCACAGTTCGCAATAGAATTCGTGCTCTCATGAGAATCTGATGCCACCGTTGATCTGACAGAAGGTGGAGCTCCAGTTATCTGCCACTCCCCTCATGCGATGTGGCCCACATCCTAACAGGCCATGGACTGATAACAGTCTGCAGCCCAGAGGTTAGGGGCCCCTGCCTTAAAGCATTTTTGAACCATTGTTTTAGAACTTCCTCTAGAGTTTATATCTAGTCTTTTTAATTTTTGTAGTATTGGAAAGTCATAAAGTAGATTTTCAGAAATCTTCTTTTAATTTCAAGTAAAAGAATTAAGACTCACAGAGGTTAAAGCTGTTGCAGAAAGTCTCACAGCCTGTTACTGGCAGAACTCTGATTTGTGATCCCAGTTACATCTCTGCACACACACATGGACACCCTGCAGGTTAAGAATAGAGCCCTACGTATACATGAGCACAGTCATCCCTTTTGACTCAGTAATCTCAGTTCAGGGGATTCAGCCTAAGAAAATATTTCAAGAGGAGAAAACAGCTCTGTATGTAAAGATTCGTAGAGCAGGATCATTTATCACACTGAGAAACTAGAAACAACTTGAGTGTCTAACAACACAGGTGTGGTTCAGTGCATTAAGCTATGTCAGTTCAAGGGAATTTTTTTTTTTCTTTGAGTTAGCCTGTCACTTAAGCTAGAGTACAGTGGCATGATCATGGCTCACCACAGTCTCAATCTGCTGGGCTTAGGCTGGTCTCCTGAGTAGCTGGGATGACAGGCATGTGCCACTATGTCCAGCGAATATTTTTATTTATTTATTTTGAGTCAGAGTCTGACTCTGTCGCCCAGGCTAGAGTGCAGTGGCATGCTCATGGCCACCCCAGTGTCAACCTGCTGGGCTCAGGTGATCCTTCTGCCTCAGCTTTCCAAGTGGCCAGAGCTATAGGTGCGTGCTACCACACCTGGCTAATTTTTTTTATATATATATTATAGAGATGAGTTCTCACCAAGTTGCTCAGGCTGGTCTCAAACCCCTGGGCTCAGGCAATCCTCTCACCTCAACCTCCCAAAGTGCTGGGATTACAGGAGTGAACCACTGTGCCCAGCCTTGATTTTTTTTTGTAGAGACGAGATTTTGCTCTGTTGTCCAGGCTAGTCTTGAACTGCTATGCTCAGGCAGTCCTCTCACCTTGCGCTTCCAAAGTGCTGAGATTGCAGGTATGAGCTGCTGCGCCCGGTCTCAAGGAATATTTAGTAATAATTAAGATAATACATTTTGCAACATGGAAAACATACATGCATTGTGAAGTGAAAAACTGGGATGTGACATTAAATATGTACTATAATTAAAATTTGATTTTTAGCATGTGGAGAAAAGTGAAGAAAATTAATGTATACAACAGGTTGGTAGCCTGATGGTTTAATTTTTCCTTAATATAAGGTTGGTTCTCTCCCTCCAAAGTAGAAATCTTTATTATTTTTTTCTTAGTGGATGTAACTATTTTAAAAAGGCTAAATTTATCATAATCTCATTTCAACATTGACGCCAGTAATGATCTGTGATACATGATTCTAGGTGGTTTTCCTGAGTGTATATGTGTGTGTGTGTGTGTGTGTGTGTGTGTGTGTGTGTGTGTGCGCGCGCGCGCACGCGTGCATACATAGACTCACACCATGCATACTGTTGTCCTTAAAATTAAAGAAAATTTTCTATATAAACATACCATAGCTTTACTTAAATTTTGTAAATCCTATTCTCCATCCCAAAATATTTAACTCTTTATTTTAGAAAAAAACATATTTTGCTTCTGATTATAATAATAATGCACTTGCTGTAGAAAATGAAAATAATGCAGAAAAACAGAGAGATCACACTGTCTGAAGAACTTTCAGATGTCACCCTGTGCACACAGATATACACAGCATTGATACATAAGATCATGTCACATGTGCTGTTTTACAGTTTGCCTTTTTATTTTCATTTTTAATTTTTATTAATTTATTTATTTTGAGTCATAATCTCACTCCATTGCCCAGGCTGGAGGGCAGTGGCATGCTCATGGCCACCCCAGCGTCGACCCACTGGGTTCAGGCAATACTTTTCCTTCCGCCTCAGCCTTCCAAGTAGCCAGAACTATAGGCACGCACTACCACACCCGGCTAATTTTTTGATTTATTGTAGAGGCGAGGGCTCGCTAAGTTGCCTGGGTTGATCTCGAACCCCGCAGGCTCAGCCAGTCTACTGGCCTCTGCCTTCCAAAGTGCTGGGATTATAGGCTGAGCTACCGAGCTCAGCCCAGTTTGTCTTTCTCACAAACTGTATCTGAGCCAGCTTTCCATGTCGATAAACATAGATATATCGTGTACAGTAACTGCACTGTAGCCCATTGTCTAAATTTTTAGGTGGAATTGGTTTCCCACTGTTGTAAAAATGCTGTGGTAACTATCCTGGTTACACACAGGCTTGTTCTTCAAGTGGTACGTTTTGGAACCAAAGTTGCTGACCCAGAGGGTGCGGGTGTATGTCACTGTCTCCCTGAGTCTGTCCCTCATGCAATGCCACATGGTCATGAAACACCCCGACATGCTTGCTGGGTGGTGGCTGCAGCCTGCCGGGTCTGCCGCCCCACCTGTGCTCTCAACACCTTTCCAGGGAGACTCGCAGCTCCTCTACTGAAGCGTTTAAGCCTCTCCACATCCAAGCTGAACAGCCTGGCCATCGGTCTGCGGCAGATTGCAGCCTCCTCCCAGGACAGCGTGGGGCGTGTTTTGCGCCGGACCCGCATTGCCAAAAACCTGGAACTCGAACAAGTGACTGTCCCAATTGGAGTTCTGCTGGTGATCTTTGAATCTCGCCCTGACTGTCTACCCCAGGTGCGTGACTAAATGTCCTACCAGGGGGTGGGAGGGGGTGGGGGAATTGGAGGAAGAGTGTGTTTTCAGGACTGGAGATAAGATTCTCAAAGGCAATTGTGTGGGTGTGGGTGTGGGTGTGGATGTGTGTGAAGATCTTCTGGGTTTTTTGGTCCCAGAAAAAGATCAATTTTGAGACTTCATTCTCAGGCTATTCTTCGGGCAACTTATGTTCTTGATTCTTCCAGTAGTCCTGAGGTAGCTCTTCATATGTTCATGTTACAGTTGGAAAATCTGAGCCTTGTAGACGTTAATATTCTCGTCACACTTTGTGTAAGGTAGAGCTGGGACTGGAGCCCAGATCGAGCTGCCACTCTGTAGTGCAGGAGTGGTTTTCCAAATACCTTCGCTCGTGGCTCACTCTGCCGCCTGGCCACGAAGCCCCGCTGGCCTGCTGCAGGTCGCTCATCTCACAACTGGCTTTGCCGGTGTGCTCCGTGTCACAGATGACTTCCTGTATGTTGGCTAGGGAGAAGGACTGTCAGTAGTTAATGAGAGCTAGAATGCAACTCTCTTTAAGGACGTGAACGTACCATAGGCTCCTGTTAAGAAGCCACACGTTCAAGGTCTTGCCAGGCCACCAGGCCGGGACATATAATGTAGTGCTAGAGGGTAGCCTCACACTGTGGCCCTAAACTGTCCCAAAACTCGGAGGCCATTTCCTCACTGGACTGTCCTGTAGGGTGATACCAGCTTTTTCTTCGCACTATCCCCACGGTCTCACAGGAAAATTCTGGTTTTTTAAAAATAAAAAGGGGTACAAGTGCAAGTTTGTTCCATGCATGTGTCATGTAGCGGTGGGTCTGGGCTTTTAGTGTCCCCGCCCTCAACAACAACCATTGTACCCAGTAGGCTGTTCTCCAACACTCACCTCCCTCCCACCCTTTGGTCTCCAGTGTCTGACATTCCACTCTATCCATCCATGTGTGCCCATTGTTTAACTTCAAGTAAGAACATGTGCTGTTTGTTTCTGGGAAATTTTGTTTTAAACACAAATGCAGCACCTCTTTATTAGAAGCCATGGATGACAAGTAGGAGTCTGGAATATGCTACGGAAGGTCCTTTCTGATGTGTCCTAAAGCCAGCCTGTTCACCAAGGGACTGTCATACCAATGGGGCCTGTCCTCAGCCTCTGGCTGATGTGGGCACCCCACCCTCTGGCTACATACCTGTCTAGCAGAAATGCCCCAGTGATGTCTGCAAAACCCGCCTTTGGCCAGGCACAGTGGCTCACACGTGTAATCCCAGCACTTTGGGAAGCTGAGGCGAGAGGGTTGTCTGAGACCAGGATTTTGAGACCAAACAGGGCAACTTGCAAAGACCTCGTCGCTACAATAAATCAGAAACTTAGCCAGGTGTGGTAGCATTGTGCCTGTGGTTCCAGCTGCTTGGAAGGCTGAGGTGGAAGGATTGTCGGAGACCAGCAGGTTGAGGCTGCAGTGGCTGAGTGTGCCCCTGCACTCCAGCCTGGGAGACAGAGTAAGACTCCAAATAAAATTTTTAAAAAACCCACTTCTGTTGGTGGCAATGTCCTAAGTGACTCTGTGGTCTGTGTCCATGAAGTATCTCTGCTATATGTCATCCATACAAGAAGAGTAAGGTTTCCTCTTAAGCCAACCACTAGTGAGACTCCTTACCTGGGCTCCTAACCCTAGATGGTTTCACCAAATCCCTGAGTCCCAAAAATTGCATGCAGAATTCTGTGTGTGTGCATTTATCTGGAGAAACTTTACATGGCTTTTTTAAGAGGTCATGAGCAACAAGAACAAAAAAGGACCGAGAACCTCTAATCCAGAGTTGAGCATGCTCAGGCAAGGTTTTTAGTAAAATTGTTTTTTTTTCCGTGTTGTAAAAGCAAGATTTCATTCATCCCGAGAGCAGTGAGAGCATGAGGCTTTTGGCTTTGGGTGACAGGTCAATGTCACTCATTCTTTGCTGTAACAGTCCTGCCCAGCGGGTGTGTGGAAACAAGGCTCCTTTCCCAGCAGGCTCGCCATCACTGTCCAGGGCCGGCAGGAGCATGTGTCTCCTGCAGGCGTTTAGAGCTCTGGGAACAAGTCCAGGGCCAGGGTAGATTGTGGCCAGATGTGCTACCAGCCTCAGCTGAGTCAGGTAGAGCATGTGCTTCCCCACGGAGCCCTGAGCATGCTGTTATCCACAGTGGAGTGTGAGGAGTGGGACACTTAACTCAGGTAACTTTGCTAACGTACTAAGGAAGCCATGTAGTTTAGCTCCAAAGATCCAGGTGGTTCACTTTGGAGTCAACCCATCTCCGTCTAGCTCCCAACACTGCTGTTTATAAGCTGCATCATCTTGGGGGAGTCACCAGCCTCTCTGGACTTCAGTGTCCTTATCCGAAAAGGGGGGCATAAAACAGGCACTTTCTTCGCTAGATATTGTAAAGGTAAAGCCACACAGGCCTTACAAAATGACGAACACGGTGCAGAGTGCTGGGAAAGTGCTCAGGGAGTGTGAACGTTGCTGTCGCTGTTAATGTTTTGTCACCTGGTCACCTCTGCCTCTGATCTGCAGGTGGCGGCCTTGGCCATCGCAAGTGGGAATGGCTTGTTACTCAAAGGAGGCAAGGAGGCCGCACACAGCAACCGTATTCTTCACCTCCTGACCCAGGAGGCCCTCTCAATCCATGGAGTCAAGGAGGCCGTACAGCTGGTAGGTCCCTGGGAAGGAGCCAGGTCAGGTGTTTGGGAGTGTAAGCAAAGCTTAGGCTGCTGGGGCCAAGACTCTTGCACAGGCAGGCTTGATTGGAGTGGCAGGAGGTTCTGTGAGCCACCCGACAGAGCCAGGTGGGTCTTTGGTGGCTTGGGAGGGCCACTGCCATGCAGCTGCGTCCTGGCACTGCTGACCACAGGAGTGTCAACGGGACCCACAACCTGGGCAGCAGGAGCAGTGGGCCTTGAGGGTGAGGCCTGACTTCTTCTTGTTGGCAGAGGGATTTAAGGCAAGCCATAGGAGAAGCTTCATGAAAGTCTGTCCAGTCCGTTATGCAGCATGCATGTATGAGATCATGCTGTTCTCACTGTTACGTTTAAGGTCATTATTTAACTGACCATAGTCTCACTTTCCTCAACGTGTCAAGGTAGTTTGATAGTTATAGCTGTAGCTTGGTGAGCGCCTACTGTGTGCAGGGCACTTTGTATCCATTATCTCATTTAATCTAATCTTCACAACAGCCTTGTTAGGAAAATACCATTCATTATTGGGCCCACTGTCTTGCTTCGAATAAAACAGACTCAGGGGTAAAGTAATTCGCCCGGAGTCACACAGTTCACAGTAGAGTTTAGATTTGGACCAGGCTGACCCCAGATCCTTCTCTTTTGCCATTGAAGCCCGCTCACTCCAGCGTTCCAGGATTCTGTTGGCTGCTGGGAGGATGTCTATGAACCTCCTGCATTGCATGCTCAGTGACCAGGATCGGGATTTTCTCTTAATGGCAACGTAGTGGGTAGAAAGAGGGATTTTAGGGATTTAAATCCCAGCTCTGCCATATCTCAGCTTGGACAGGTTCCCTCCAACCTGCCCTCACTTCCTGTTGATGTATGACATTCACACAGGACATATACAGATCCTCTGTGAACACCTCTGTGACTTTGTCCACGTGTGTGTACACACACGTCTATGACCACCAGGTGTATAGAAGGTCATCAGCGGTCCCAGCATCCTGGAAATCTTGTGCCCTGCCTAACCAGTGTGTCCCACCCTGCCACAGGGTGACTTTTTTTTTAAGTTGGGGTCTCTGTTACCCATGCTGGAGTGCAGTGGCATAATTATGGCTCACCATAGCCTCAAACTCCTGGGCTCAAGTGATTCTCCTGCCTCAGCCTTCCAAGTAGCTATAGGCATATGCCACCATACCCAGCTAATTTTTTGATTTTTTGCAGAGACAGGGTCTCGCTGTATTGCCTAGGCTGGTCTTGAACTCCTGGGCTTAAGCAGTCCTCCTGCCTTGGCCTCCCAAAGTGCTGGGATTATAGGTGTAAGCCACCGTGCCCAGCCAAATTTTTTGACTTCTGTCACATAGAATTACTTTTGCCTGTTTTTGAACTTCATATAAATGGAATCATACAAAATACATTTTATGTTGTGTGTCATTTGTTCATCATTACTTCTGTGACATTAATTCAGTCATTGCATCTAGCATTCGTTTTCTCTAAGTTTGATCTCTGTGTATTAATAGTATTCCATTTACATACATATGCAACAGTTTTTCCTTTCTTCTGCTGATGAATATTTAGGTTGTTTCCAGCTTTTGACTATGTGGAATAAAGTTGTTATGAACACACTGGTACATGTATATTTATATTTGTTGTAAAGGCAACATGGCCATGGAAAAATATTAAAAATCAAGATGAGAAAAAAATGCTTATGATCTCAGTGTCCTAACACAAGCACTTTTGTCGTTCCAGTCCACTTCCCAGGGTAGAGGTTGTCACTGGAAGTCCTGGCAAATGGAGACTCCCTGGAGAGACACGCCATTTTCCCAGGGTTGTGATCTGAGCCCCTCCCTTTGTGATCCTCTGAGCCCGGCGTAGTCTCTGCCACATCTGATCTTCAGAGTGGTACCTTGTACCTCTTATGGCATTTCAGAACCTCTGCCCTGTACTATGGCTAGCTGTGTCCTCGTGCTGTCTTCCCTGTTAGACTCAGCTCTGCGGGCAGGGTCGTGTTCTGCGTGTTGTGGGATACAGAGCATGGCACCAGATGCAAAGTATTTAATAAGCATTTGCTGGATAACTTTTTTATTCCCATGATCAGAAACTTAATCTTGTTTTCAGACGTTTTCACAGTATCTGATTTAGTTCTCAGGATATGCAGACATTTACCTAAAAAAAGGAAACTGCTATTTCTCTATTTTGTGTAGTCAGAAGATGTCAGCTTTATCTTTTTATTCTCTTTCTTTAGGTGAATACCAGAGAAGAAGTTGAAGATCTTTGCCGCCTAGACAAAATGATCGATCTGATCATTCCACGCGGCTCTTCCCAGCTGGTCAGAGACATCCAGAAAGCTGCCAAGGGGATCCCAGTGATGGGGCACAGTGAAGGGATCTGCCACATGTATGTGGATTCTGAGGCCAGTGTCGACAAAGCCACTAGGCTGGGTGAGCTGGCTGGGGTCTCCCGTTTCCCAAGGGTGAGACACTTACTAAATCTGCTGTCGCTAGATCCTGTTGATAGAAACATGTCTCTTCTCTTTTCCTTTCAGTCAGAGACTCTAAGTGTGAATATCCGGCTGCCTGTAATGCCTTGGAGACGTTGTTAATCCACCGAGATCTGCTGAGGACCCCATTATTTGACCAGCTCATTGATATGCTGAGAGTAGAGCAGGTAAGTCAGGTTTGCAGGAGGGCATGTTACTTCCACTCTGGGATGTGGAAGCCTGTGGAGTTAGCAGGAACCGCTGTGGTGCCACAGAAGGCAATTAGGAAACAGTGTTTCTGGGCAACCCATGTGCAGAGTGCAGAGGTGAGCAGAACACACACCCTGCCCTCCACTTTCTAGCAGACAGACCAGCCGACATACGGATGGCTTTATTGTGAAGCAGAATGTGTTGTGTGCAAAGGAGGGTTCAAAGGTAAGGCAGACCACGTGGCAGCACACTACGTGGACTGTTTCTGGAACCTTTTATTCAGGAGACAAAATGTAAAGTTTATGATTCCAAACACATTCCTCCTTGCATGTGATTTGAGAAGATGGTGTAGAAATGTTTTCAAACCACAAATGTATGTGTATCCACTCCCCCGCCTATGCCTTCAGTCACCACTGTGAATGTGCTTGAAATGACAGCGTTTGGGGTCAACAGCTTGTGCGATGTGCTCTCTGGCTTGTGGTCTTGCCGTGTCATTAGGATTGTAAACCAGCCAAAGCCAATACGTTTCAAATATAAAGTTATGCTCTGTCCTGAATTCATGACTGCAAGAAAATAGATGCTCTCAGGCAAAAATGGCCTATCTGTTAAGCTTTATGCATGGATATATTTTAAACTTTAATGTCCGATGTCATGGTGCTCTTTCACAGTGATGTGAACTAACAGTAGCAGAGAAGATGCCTGCTGGCCTTGGTTGCTTTGTCCTGAGCATCTCTTCCCTTCCCTGTTTTCGCTGGGAAAGAAGGTTCCAGTCAGCTGATAAATGTGGCATGGTCCTGATGAGAACCTGAAAGAATTGTTTTGAAAATGAAAATTCACCCCCCAGAGTAGAAGGGAGCTAGATCACATGGTCTTCATGTCCAGGGCCTGCCTTTGCACCAGTGGCCTGTGGACTGGGCACCCACATTTGCCAAACCCCACAGTGAACAGGACTGGATGGGAGGAAGGTGCTCTGTCAGCCAGGACAAAACCCCCGCCCACCCCCGTCCTGACCCGGACAAACCGTATTGTCCTCAGTGATTAAAATAAGGATGGCCTTGAAGTTCCTCAAACCAAAGTGGGTCCGTGTGTACGTCTCGCAGCCCTTCTGTGTGGCAGGAAGTAAACCCAGTGGGGTGACTTGCACAGGGCTGGGGTTCTGGTCCCCTAGGACCATGGGTAGACCCCGGTCCAGGAGGAAGCGGGGTCCCATATAGGAAATGACAGGAGGGCCTCAGAAGCCCTTGGGACAAGACAGACACCGCTTGTGGTAACTTGAGCCAAGGTAAGAGCTTAGTCCTGAAGAATCAAGGCATGAACCCTGTCCTAGGGAAGTCTTGGAGAACAAGGCTTAAGCGGGACCCAGCTGTGACCTTAGGATCCTGAAATTATTCCAGCCAGGAGCTGGATTAGTGCCTGGGGCTGAGCTGAACTAGAGGTGGGGCCAGTCCAACACAGTCAGAAATCCAAGCAAGTACCTCTAGAGATGCTGGAAGAGCCTAGCCAAGTCAGCTTCCTCCAAAGCCAGCCTGTGACATCTCCAGGGGAGGGAGTGGAAAATGTATATGTAGATCTCCCTCTGTCCATATGGTTCCAGTGCCTAGATCCACGTGCAGGGGGTGGGGTCTTTATACTCAAGTGTCCGTTTTAGTAAAATACCAGAAGTCAGGGCTACGTCAGCCCATTAAATGCCTCACATGTTCTTAATGTTCAGAAGCGTCCTGCTCAATCCTTACTCCAACTTCTTGGGGGCCCCATGCTGACGTGTGGCCAGTCAGCATTTCCCAAGGCATAGCATCCAGCAGGGCAGGAAGGTCGGACCGGTCCAGCTATCCGGGCTCGGAGCCGCTCTGGAAGCCCCAGCTGTATCTGCAGGCACCACTCACTGCTTGAGCTGGAGCGTGCTTATTTAGTGGTTTCTGTGTTGTCATCCTGGGCTTCCTCTGTTCCAGGTGAAGATCCATGCTGGCCCCAAATTTGCCTCCTATCTGACTTTCAGCCCCTCCGAAGTGAAGTCACTCCGAACTGAGTACGGGGACCTGGAATTGTGCATTGAAGTGGTGGACAGCGTCCAGGACGCCATTGACCACATCCACAAGTATGGCAGCTCCCACACGGACGTCATCGTCACTGAGAACGGTCAGTGTCCAGATCTCCCAGCACGCAGTGTCCGCCTTTTCTGCTCTGGCCTCCCAGGCAGCCCTGCACTGGCAGACCCTCGTGGCCCGCAGGAAAACATCAGTTGAGGAGGCTAATGGCAGCGCCTAGCATAGCTGCATTTGGTGGGTGGCTGGGTGCTGTCACACCTATGAGCCCATTGTGCTGTTATGGTGGCCCTGCCGGGGACGATGGAGCAGGGATGATTCACTCTGCTTTTAGATGACTTACCTGTGTCAAGGTGTCATCATTTAATCCGAGCAACAGTTCTTCCCAGGTAGTTAAAATAAACCCGTTTTACAGCTGAGGAAACCAGGGCCCAGGAGGTTACGGGCAGAACCGCCCCTGCACGTTCATTTGTTCACTCCGCAGATGTGTACTGAGGGATACACATCGTGGGTGCCGGGCGCCAGAGGCCCCTGAGGAATCTCTAGTCAGCTTGTTGGGGAATCATAACACCGCCAGTAATGGCAGCTGGCGGTTCCTGAGCACTCACTGGGCGCCGGGCCCTGGGATGAGTACTCCCTAGGGACCAACTCATCTCATCCTCTCCACAGCCCTAGGAGCTGGGTAAGGGCATCAGTCCCTTTTGACTCAGGCACAGAGAGGTGTAGACACCTGCTCGGGGTCACGCTGCTTGTGGGTGTAGAGCAAGACACAGGCAATGTGGGGGTGGAGCCTGTGGCGGAGCAGCAGTGGCCATTGCAGCACCAAGGCGCATCTGCGGGAGGTCTGGGCTCCACCCTGGCCTTCCCACAATGCCTGGCTGACGAAGCAGGCTGGCCTTCTTCCGCTTCGGAGCTTTCACAAGCCTCCTGTTCAGCGGTGAGAGCACGTAAGGCATGCGTGGGGCCAGGCCCTGTCCAGACCTGTCCCAGCAAGTGGCTGGAAGCAGGGGTGTGCTCCAAGGGTCACCCTGATTCTGTTTCTCTTTTTTCACCCTGCAGAGCAAACCGCAGAGTTCTTCCTCCAGCACGTAGACAGTGCCTGTGTGTTCTGGAATGCTAGCACTCGCTTCTCTGACGGCTACCGCTTTGGGCTGGGTAAGAAAGACTTTGTCGGGGGAGAAAGGGGTCCCTTGAAAAGCACTGGGTGAGCTGGGCTCGGTGGCTCAGCCTGTAATCCCGCGCCTTTGGGAGGCTGAGGTGAGTGTATTGCCTGAGCCCGTGGGTTCGAGACCTACCTGGGCAACTTGGCAAGACCTCATCTCTACAATACATCAAAAATTAGCCGGACATGGTAGCGCACGCCTGTAGTTGCAGCTACTTGGAAGACTGGGGCGGAAGGATCGCCGGAGCCCAGCAGGCAAGGCTGCAGTGGCCGGAAGCCGGCCACTGCACTCCAATCTGGGCGACAGAGTGAGACTCCAACTCAAAAAAAAAAAAGAAAAAGAAAAGCGCTGGGTGGCCCAAGGGCCTGGGAGGTAGAGGAGACACCTCTTCTTCCCTGTCACATGCTTGAGCAAGTGATGGAGACAGACATGTGGCAAGGTGGGATTATCAGGGAGAATAATGAATGAAACCAAGGTATTTCATGCGTGAACCAGGTGGGTACTCATTTCCTTCCTCGCAGGTGGAGAACAAGATCAGAGAAATGCAGTAACTTGTCCAGAGTCACACAGCTGGCACTCAGACCCAAGTTTGTGCAAATCCAAAGCCTGGGTCAACTCCTGCCACAGCACAGGCAGACCACAGCCTGCTTTTGTGCACAGGCTGTGACAGATGTACGTGCCAGGGTCCCTCGAGAGCTCTGCTGTTGCAGGCTGTTTTTTCAGAGTGACACAGCCACGTTGTCTCAGATGGGAACCCCACAAGGACAGGACAGAAGAAGGTGCTAGTACCTACATTGGGCCAAAGTACCAGCATCAAAAACAGGTCAGCCCAGAGGTACGAGGCTAACTTCTAAAACAGATTTTAAAACAGAAAGCTTCAGAGGGACACTCTTGGGTCCCCTCCCATTCTGTATAAAATCTCCATCCCAGCCCAGTGTGGTGGCTCAAGCCTGTAATCCTAGCATTTTGGGAGATTGAGGTGAGGGGATTGCTTGAGCCCACAGGTTCGAGACCAGCCTGGGCAACTTGGTGAGCCCTCGTCTCTATAATGTATTTTTTTAAAAAAATTAGCTGAGCGTGGTAGCACATGCCTATAGTTCCGGCTATTTGGAGGCTGAGGCGGAAGGATCTCCTGAGCCCAGCAGGTCGACGCTGGGGTGACCATGAGTGTGCCACTGCACTCCAACCTGGGAGACAGAGTGAAACTCCAGCTCAAAATAAAATAAAATCTCCATCCCTGTGTAGTGCTGGGGTTATTTAGAGTCTCTGGTTTTCAGGGGTACCATAGCATGAAACTTCAGTGAGACATTTATGACATATTTTCTGAATATTTGGGAATTATTTCAACCACTTAAAACATTTTAATCCCCCTGAAATTTTTGAACAGATGGTCAGCCTGGAGAAATGGTTCTTAATGAACTGTTAAAAGAAATTTAATTCAGTTACTCTTGGTCATCAGACCCTTTCAGTTCCTCACTTCTGTCGTGTTGGGGGTTGGATTTAAGTATTGCATCACTTGCACTGACCCTTGAACTCTGTATTCTGGAAACAAATTGCAGTGTGCTTTTAAGGGCTGAGGTGACAAGTGTCCAAGTGAGAATTCAGGAGGGAGATGAGCAAAAGGCCAAATACCCAGACCGCTGTCCTACCAGCACCAGCTTGAGCAAAGGCCCAGACTCCGGCTGAGCTGATCTCCCACGATATGCATCCGTGACAGCGAGAGGTGTTCAGTGAGCATTGACTCCCTTCCTGGCACTGCGCTAAGTGCATCACATGCATTCTCTCACTTGGTCTACAAAGTGGATTCTGTTATTTCCAGATGAAAAATGGAAGAGAGAAAACGTGTCTGACGTCACGTGATCTCCATACTGCTGAACTGAATCTGATCCCGGTGGTCTCTGTCCTTGCCAGCCACTTCCCAAGCACTTCCCGGGTCTCTGCACTTGCCTACCTCTTAGCACCTCCACCTGGTTCTTCTCAGTGCTCAGTTCCAGCCACAATGCCTCTCCTTGGGGAGGCTCCCATGACCCCCTGCCCTGCGGTGTCCCCAGCTCTGTCCCGGTCTCTGTCATGGCATCCTTCACTGCACTTGGGCACAACATAGGTTATTGACTCATATGCCACCACATCAGCTCCATGAAAGCAGGACCCTGAACCTGTTATTCACCACTTTATCCCCAGGGCCCAGCCCAGTGCCAGGAACATAGCACATGCTCAGTAAAGCTGTGATGAAGGGGGAACCCTGCCTCCGCTTTATACAGTGAGCACCAACCAGAGCCAGGAACATTCCTGAGGGTCTCAGGTCTGTACGGGGTGCAGGAGGGAAGGCAATGAACAATAACCCTTGCATGTACCCAGTAACTGTCTGAGTGCCCATGTGCTGAGACTTCCGGGGAACACTAAGAACATGTCCCTTACATTATAGGATTTAAAGTATATTTGGGGCCAGGCATGGTGGCTCATTCTTGTAATCCCAGCACTTTGGGAGGCAGAGATGAGGATTGCCTGATTCCAGGGGTCCGAGACCAGCCCAGGCAGTTTGGCGAGACCTCTTCTCAATGATAAATACAAAAAATTAGCTGGGCGTGGCGGTGCATGCCTGTGATTCCATCTACTTGGAAGGCTGAGGCAGAAAGATCACCAGAGCCCAGCAGGTCGAGGTCACGGTGGCCATGAGCGTGCCACTGCACTCCATCCTGGGTGACAGAGTGAGACTCCAACTCAAAAAATGTATATATATATATATTTGGGGAGTTGAAACTCTCATGTAAACGTTGTTGTACACCTTAAAACGTGTCCAGATGTCATCCTGTGTACAGTTCAGCTGCTCAGCTGCCATCAGAGACAGCACTTTGTCAAAATGCACTGGGAGTGAAATGTGGACAAGAAGCCCACATGCTTCAGGAGAAGGGGCGCGTCACGATGTCTTGTAACTGGGGAAGGTGCTTAAGAAGACGAGGACGGTGGGACTCAGCAGACTGGGGAGGGGGCGTCAGGGTTGGCAGAGGGCATCAAGGGAGGACAAGGCAGCGTGGGTCTGGTGCATAGACAGGAAGCAGGGGCTGGGAGAGCCCCCGTTGATCTGTGCTTTTCCACAGGAGCGGAAGTGGGCATCAGTACCTCTCGAATCCACGCCCGGGGACCCGTGGGACTGGAGGGACTGCTTACCACCAAGTGGCTGCTGCGGGGGCAGGACCATGTGGTCTCAGACTTCTCGGAGCACGGAAGTTTGAAGTATCTTCACGAGAACCTCCCTGTTCCCCAGAGAAACACCAACTGACAAGCCAGGAGCACCGGGACAGTCCCAAGAGGTCTTTGCATTCACCTTGTCTTGCCTCTCAGGGGAGAGCCAGGCTTTGTCTCCCAGTTCCTGGTAGGGTCACCTGGCGGAAAGTGCGCATAGGCGCTTCTGGTGTGTTCCAGCTCACCTTTTTCATTTTTTCTTTAAATAAGGAAAACTTGCTCCAGATCAGGACTTTGCCCAGTCTGATTCACCTCCGTGATCGCAAGGGGCGTGTCTCCACATGAAAGGCAAGGAAAAATCGAGCTGCTTCTCTCGCCTCAGTGAGGTACCGCGTCCCTTGGCGTCCGTCTGGTGCTAGCGCCGGGCATCCCGCATACCTCTTTCCACATTTCACTTCTTTCACGTAGTCATCTCCAAAAAGGAAAGATTGGAATTTTGGAAGAGGGGCGGCTCTCACTTTTAGCTCCCCAAGATGGACTGAATCATTTCCACTGGGAAGACCGACCTCTTGTATTTATTGGCTAGGTGAACAGACAGCCCTCCAGACGCCGCGTCTCCTCCCCATCCCGGACATGCTGCATCCCCGCGATGCAGGGGAGCCCGAGCTGCAGACAGGAGGTGCGGTCTTGGGGACCCCAGGAGCCAGAGGAATAGCTGCAGAATCATGCTTGAAATTTTTTTATGTGAATTATTTTGTCGCCTTGTCCTTTTCTTCCAAAACAAAAATTAGAGGATTATTTTAATACTTTGGATTCTTCCCCCTTTTTGAAAAATAAAGTTCTTATGAAAAGCCTGCATGCACGGCTCAAGTTTTTACCCACATTTTTGTCACTTTCGCCCTCCTCTTCCCTCCCTGTGGCCCTCTGGCCTGCTTGTAGGCAAAGTCCCTTCTCGGGACACTGTCCCTGGAGACGAGCCTTCTGTCTCAGCAGCGCCGGTGGAGGCAGCCCAGGCAGACCCCGTGGGGATGCAGACCAGGAGGCAGGGGGGCAGAACGGGAGACCAGCCCAGGAGCTTAAAACCAAAGCCCGGGGGTGGCCTCACGTTAGCAGATGTGTGCAGCATGAGCGGGCCCGCCACCAGTCCACCAACCCCAGCGGACGTCCTCATTCACTCCGGGTACAATCACCTCCTCCTCCCAACTCCTCCCTGCCTGTCAGCATCATGGGACGGTTCTGACCCCTCACCTCCCTCCCTCCCTCCAGCTCCTGTCCTCAGGGTCCCCAGTGCCTGACTGTCTGCCGCTGAAGATGGCTTGTCTCATAGGGACCCTCCTACAGAAATAAGCACTCACTCACAGGCTGCCGCTTGCCCTCTGAGGATGTTTTATGAGCACGAGAATTATGGTGTCATGTGGAACACGTTCCCAGGCTGGCTCCAAACTCTACCTCCCGTCCCGACCTTACATGGTCCAGCAAGTGACCCTGCCTGCCCTACCCCTGAGCGGGGGACTCCGGCATAGCTTGCCCGAAAAGGCAATAAGCAGAGTCTGCCTGAAACACTATCCCAGATACCACAATCAGCCGGACAACAAATGCCTGGAATCTCCCAGCTGGACACCAAATGCCTGGAATCCAAAATAGAAAACAGCCCAAGAGAGCTGGGCCTTGGGGAAGACTCACTGAGAAGGCAGACCCACATCAGGCCGTGGGAAACCACCAGCACCCCCAAACAAAAGCTCCACTCTCACTCACCAGCCTGAGTCAGCCCCTGTTGTCCAGGTACACACAGCAGAGCCACGAGCCACAGGAAATGCAGGCCATCAGGGCTCGAACATGGTGGTTCATTGGCCTCATGTAAAGAGAGGCCCGGCCTGGAGGCCAGCAGCCAAAGGCTGAGGTGATGGCCCCAAGATGGCATCGGGCACTCGGGCTGCTCTTGTTTCTGTTCCTCCATCCTAGGGTGAGGCCTGGGTCCACGCGCTAGTGACATTCCAGCCGTCGGGAGTGTGTTCCAGGAAGGAGGAAGAATCATGTGCAGAAGAGCATGTGCCAGCTGTCCCCTTCCAAGTGACGTTCCAGGAAGACTCATCCAGCAGCTTGGCAAGAACTGGCTCACGGCCTCCCCGTCTAAAAGGGATCTGAGAGACTGAGCGCGGTGGCTCACATCTGTAATCCCAGCACTTTGGGAGGCCAAGGCAGGAGGACTGCTTACCAGGAGTCTGAGGCCAGCCTGGGTAACATGGTGTGACTCCCATTTCTACAAAAAATTTGTTTTTTGAGGGGTTATTTTTGGGGAGGTATTTCTTCTTTTTTTGTTGTTTATTTTCCCCTTTTTCTTTCTTTTATTTTTTTTTCTTCCTCTTTTCTACAAAAAACTTATAAAATAAAAAAAATTAGCCAGGCATGGTAGCACATGTTTGTAGTCCCAATTACTCAGGAGGCTCAGGCGGGAGGATCACTTGAGCCCAGGAGGTCGAGGCTGCGGTAAGCTGTAATCACACCACTGCACTTCAACCTGAGTGACAGAGCCAGACCCTGTCTTTAAAAAATATAGACCAGCAGGCACGGTGCTCAAGCCTGTAATCCCAGACCTTGGGAGGCCGAGGTGAGGGGACTGCCTGAGCCCACGGATTCGAGACCAGACTGGGCAACTTGGCGAGACCTCATCTCTACAATAAATAAAAAATTAGCCGGGTGTGGTAGCGGACGCCTATAGTTCCGGCTACTTGGAAGGCTGAGGAGGAAGGATCGTCAGAGCCCAGAAGGTCAACACTGAGGTAGCCATGAGCAAGCCACTGCCCTCCAGCCTGGGCGACGGAGTGAGACTCTGACTCAAAAAACAAAACAATACATATAAATAAATAAATGATAGCGATTTGGGAAGTGTAGCTTTTTTATCTGGGCACATTGCAGCTTCAAGACAGCAAGGGTGTTACCGATCAGGGAGGACAATTGGATGGGAGAAGATTATCCTGATGGATTTATGGAGCTCAGAGAGGGATCCACTCACACCTCAACAACCTGACCACTGCAATGCGCAAGAGGGAGGGGACAGAAGCCAGTGAGGCGGCCACAAAGTCCCTCTGTACTGTCACAGAGGGAAGATGGCAGGGAAAGGTGACAGACACTCAGGGTCCGTGGTGCTGTCTCCAGCTTAATGGAGGGAACACAGTACTGCGACTTAAGGATTTTTTTTTTTTTTTTGGCTCTGCCACTGATGGGCCCTGTGACCTTGGGTAACTTACTTGAACATGCGTGCCTCGGTCTCCCCATCCGTAAAACGGAAGGTTGGATCGGCTTTTCTACTTAGAGAGTGGGGGAGGCTGTATGTCACTAAATTGCAAATTAGCTGAACAGGGCGTTTTTCCCATCTGACAGACACCCACAACTGCCCAAGTCCTCGGAGGGCTTTTGGAAGCTAAGCCCCAAATCTCTGACCCCCTCCCCTCCACACAGCCACTCCTAATTGCTGGATTTGGGCCTCCGGCTACTTCAAATGGTGGTTCAAGGATCCTTGTAGCAGAATAGCCAGGGGGCCAGCGAAAACTGCAGATCCCCCCAGAGCATATATCTGGGAGTAGGGAGTAGGGTGAGGAATTTTGTTTTGTTTTGAGTTGGAGTCTCACGAAATCGGAAGTTTTAACAACTTTTAACAAGCCCCTCATAATTTATACTACCACGATCATCACTGCAAGTAATCTGAGAGTTTTTGGTTTCCTCCCATCGTGAGAAGTCCACAGGCAAGGCAGCTCTCAGATGCCATTAGGAACCCAGACTCTTTCCAATTTGGGGTCCTGACATCTATTGTTTTTTTTTTTTTTGAGTTGGCGTCTCACTCTGTCACCCAGGCTGGAGTGCGGTGGCACACTCCGCTGCCTCGCCCTGCTGGGCTCAGGCGATCCTTCTGCCTCCACCTTCCAAGTAGCCGAAACCATAGGGCACGCACCACCACGCCCGGCAAATTTTTTGATTTATTGTAGAAATGAGGTCTCACCAAGTTGCCCAGGCTGTTCCTGAACTGTGGGCTAAGGCAATCCTCTCATCTTGGCCTCCTAAAGTGCTGGGATTACAGGCTTGAGCCACCGTTCCCGGCCCAATTTTTTGATTTATTGTAGAGAGGGGGTCTCACTAAGTTGCCCGGGCTGGTCTCAAACCCCCGAACTCAGGCAATCCTCTCGCCTCCCCAAGTGCTAGGATTGCAGATATGAGCCACCGCGTTCAGTCTTTTCTTTTTTTTTTTTTGGCTGGGGGGAGGTAGATCCTGACATCTTAACCAGGTAGTTTCTATTGTCCGGCAGCAGCAGCATCTACCTGCATGCCCCTGTTCCAGCTGCTTCCAGGAATGGAGAACGGGAGGACGCATGCGCAGTGCGCAGTTGAGTTGACCCGACACACCCACATTTAAAGACATCCCCAAAAGCCGCACTCAGTGACTTTCTCTGACTTAGGGAGGAGCTGTCTTGAGTGACCCCATGGGCAATTCTTGCTGCAAGGGCGGCTGGAAAGTAGGACTTTATAGCTGGGCACATTCCTGCCTGAACAAAAACCAGGATCCTCTTTATAAAGAAGATGAATATTGGATGAGCTACCAGCAGTGTTTGCTGGTTACCCCAATAACTTTCTGGAGAGTGGATTTCCTGGCCAGGTGTGGTGGCTCATGCCTGTCATCCCAGCACTTTGGGAGGCTGAGGAGGGAGGATCACTTGAGCCCAGGAGTTTGAGACCAGGCCTGGGCAACATAGTGAAACCTTGTCTCTTCACACACAAAAAAAACCCCAAAAAATTATCCCGGCATGGTGGTGCACACCTGTGGTCCCAGCTACTTGGAAGCCTGAGGCAGAAGATCACCTGAGCCCAGGAGGTCAAGGCTACAATAAATCATGATCAGACCACTGCCCTTCAGTCTGGGCAGCAGAGTGAGAGCCCCCCTGTCTCAAAAAAAAAAAAAAAAGGATTTTCTTGTAAGTCCCCCTTATTCCTTTGAGTTCATTGATGCAGGTTTTGTGGGGAAAGCCACATCGCTCTATGAGAGGTGGCGAAAAGACAAAATTCCTGGGGAGTTCTGGAGAGAAGAGTGCCTTGCAGACTTGCCCTAGGCAGAAGGTACAGTAGGGAATTAGGGTTAGAGAACACCTAATCACCAAAGTGTGAGAAAAGCCAACTGCCTTTAAACTCAATGGGGGTGGTTAGGGACTGGATGTGCCCCCCCAGATTCATATGTTGAAGG